CCAATATAGATGAATGGAGATAAATGATGAAAATCTCCATTCCTATTGGTCAAAAATCATGACCAATGGACTTTGAGGAGGCTGCCCGAGGCCATATTAGGGATTAGGGTTAGTTTTTCAGAGCCATTCGAGCTTTGAAGGCAAGAGTCAACAAGTTTAGGTTTTTGGCTATGATTTTGGTACAAATCTTGTATGATTTGGAGTTTATATGAAGGCGATATAGGCACTCAAAGTTAAGGTGTTGATTTGGAAGCTACTGTCACACTTTTTGATATAACGAATGCATACGGAAGGCAATTGAGGATCGGCAATAGCAACTAGAGAAAGCACTTTTGTGGCTACACTTTTTGCATACTGATTTTTGGATTTTAAGTTGCAATGAAGGAGTTATTAGATTTTGAAGTCAGTGCATGCAATCTAAGGATAGTAAGTAACCCGATTTACTAGCAGTTGTGACTTGAGCTATATCTTGAGCAATTTGAAAAGGTTTTGGTTAAAAATTTTAGGAATTTTGTAAATTTATGATAATAAACTTTGTACATAAGTTTTATGAAATTTAAGTATTGGATTCTTCAGATATTAAGAAAATAGTGCTTGAGTGCTTGTAAATTAGGGTTTAGAGCATCTTCTAGGGTTTCTTAGATGCCAGAAGTTTGGAAGTGAATTTGTAGTTGGTTTTTTTTGTGATAAAAGTTAAGAGTGAATTCTATCTATCCTATAAATTTGAGATAATCTAAATAGCTAGATCAAGAGTTATAAATTTCTAAAGTTCAAGATAAGAAAATCCTTCGCAATAAAATTATATTTTGAAGGGATTTTGTTATATTTTGAGTTTTATGCACTTTAAAGGAGTTTTAGAAGCTAAGAAAAGATTCATATAAAGGTTTAAGCTAAACTCTCTACAGCTAGATACCCAGTGTATTCCTAGATAGCAAATCATGCCATACAACACCAGGAGTCAAGAAAGATTATTAGATGTATTATCAAGACGTTCCTACTTTGAACCAAAAGAAGGCAAGGCATCATATGATCAACAACGAGCAACCTTGTTAAAATCTGAGTAATTTTATCTTGAAGCAATCAATGTATCAATGCTTGTGGATTTATTGTTTCTTGATTAGGTTTGTGAAGCCTCAAATATGGATCCTCTTATTCTTTATATCAAGCATCTTATGAACAACCTTCTTGAAGATTCTTCTAAATTCAAGTATGAAGTCAACCTCTTATTCTGTGAAGAATGTTTGTTTATTTCTAAAGGGCCAACTTCCATGCACGTTCTTCAAACATGCCATGACTTCCCTCTAGCTCAACATTTCAGATTCAACAAGACCTTGGAACTTCTATCTAGAGATTTTTGGTGGCCTAAAATGTAGAAGGACATTAAGAAATTTGTATTATCATGTAATACTTGTTCAAGATCAAAGAATCCTCAATATTGGCTATATAGACTTTTTCAATCTCTTCTTATTCCAAGACAACCATGGTCATCCATCTCTATGGATTTCATTAAAGATCTTCCACCATCAAGCTCATTTGACACTATCTTCATAGTTGTTGATGAATTGATGAAGATGGCACATTTTATATCTTGCAAGAAATCAATTACTAGTGAAGAGTCAGTAAGACTCTTTATTGACAATGTCTATCATTACCACAGGTTACCAAACAACATTGTGTCGGATTATAGGCCACAATTTGTATCAAGGTTTTGGAAGACACTCTTCAAGTTTCTTAAGATTGACATCAATCTTTCATATGTCTTCCACCATCAAATTGATGGCCAAACGAAGCAGGTCAATCAAATTCTTGAGTAATATTTGAGGTGTACCATTAACTATCAATAAGACAATTGGAGTTTCTACTTGTCATTGGTAGAGTTTGTATATAACAACACAATCCATGCATCTACACAACAGGCGTTGTTCTACTCAAACTATAATCATCATCCAAAGTTGGATATGCTAGAGCCTTCAAAGTCGACAAATCCAGCAACAGAGGAGTTTGCTATGAAGATGGCCAAATTTCAAGCAACCTTGAAGACTCACCTAGAAAGGGCTCAATAATGTTATAAGCTACTGGTAGATGAATTGAGGAAGGAATATCTTCCATTCCAAGTTGGTGACAAAGTGTGGCTTCTTCGACGCGATGTAAAAACCAACGAGCCATGTAATAAGTTGGACTATCAAAGGTTGGGATCATTTGTGATTCAAAAATAAATTAATAACATAACTTATTAATTGGAGTTACCTTCATCCATGAAGATTCATTGAGTCTTTCATGTTTCATTTTTGAAAAGGTATAAAGAATTGAATATACCAGGTCGAAGACAACCTCCACCTCCTATGGTTGAAATCAATAATCATGTTGAATTTGAAGTATATTCTTTTGATCTTTTCTACCTCATATGATATGGATAGTCAAGAGATAGACATCCTACCAATCTCAACTAAGTAGCTTTCAGAGATGACCTCAAGATGAAGAACCGCTTGAACTATGAAGATGTCAAAAAATACCTAGTAATAGATTACTAGTAATTGTATTTGAGGTAGAACTTGCCTATGAAGGACGTCTAGAAAGAGTGTTTGCAAGATAATTTCACAATGAAGATATCAAAGTTCATGCTTGGTTACAAATAGAAGTCTTGGGGCACTATCAATGGCTACAAGGACCTATAAACCATTTCCCTTGCAAAAAATAACTGAAATATATAACGGACATTATGTGAAAAATCTTCAAATTCTTATGCATATACTGACTTGCTATAATATTGCTTCTCGGAGACCTCAAAACTAAAAGAGGAGGTGATGTCATAGACATACAACTGAATAAGATTCTAGAAGGTTCTAATAGAATCTAAGAAGGCTCCATAAGGTTTTAAGAGTTTCTAAAAGATTCTAAAAGGTTTTAATAGATTCTAAGAAAGTTCTAGAAGGTTTTAGGAGGCTTTAGATGATTTAGGAAGTTGTCAAAGAAGAATCTTAGCCTTGCTTTGTTTCCAAGCTTCATAAAAACTTCTCAAGAAGCTTCCTAGGACCTAATATATGTAGGAGTCAAGGCTGAGGAGATCCTCAATCTCGACAACTCACTTCTTATGGTCTAGTCAAGATCTTCTTGCCTTGTATCCAGTTGTTGTTCTAATGTCAAGCTAACTCCATTTCTTGATCTTGAATCCTTGTCTTATGTATGGTCCTTAACAAATGCAAGTTGGTTTCATTAAAGGCAAAAAAACAAAGCATATTGATCCAAAATATTTTAGTTATATCCATGACTTAGTTATTAATCAAGTACTTAAGATCAAGAAAATTGAATCTGCAAATAACCTTGTTAATCTCTTCACCAAAGCTCTCCCTTTGTGCAACCATCATTGACTTACTTATGGCATTGACATGTAGCGACTTGCTTTTCTTGAGCAAGAAAGTTAATAAACTCTTAAAATAATGTTGTATTCTTTTTCCTTCATTTATAGTTTTATCCTTGAATATAATAAAGTTTTCTTAAATAAGGTTTTAATGAAGTAGTAGTTATAGATTTTGCAAGATTATAAAAAATTATAGATTATAATTCTATGTAAATTTTATGTTATATAAATATTATGACAAGTAAGGAAGAATGTTGAGAGCATTAAATGTAGTCGGTGCTCTCTATAATATTTATTATAGTTTATAATAAATACTATAGCTATAGTATTTACAATATAGTGGGGAGAAACTGTTTATCTTTTTCTCTTCTCTTTGTATATGTGCAATAACCATATTAATATACTCCCTCTTTGTGTGTATGTGTGTGTGTATTTTTGTGCATATTACTTCTACCTACTCTTGTGTATCTCCAAACAGTATGGACCGAAGTCATGGATTGTCTATGAATCAATATATTAGAATAATAAACCTTTTGAGCAAAGAGAGCAAGAAGAAAATAACAAAAATAGTAACACTAGTATAGATCGAGATAAAGAAAAACAAGCAACACACATTTATAAGAATAAGAAATGAGGTTGAATTATAGAACATATTAGAATGAAAATTTGTTTATTTGAGCTCATTTGAACTCTACCAATTTAAGCAAACTATTTATTTAGATAAAGAGACAAAGAGACAAAAATATAACAAACAACAAATTCAATATTAATGTGGAACAATGAAGTAAATGAACAAGCAATATGAAAAACAATACTAGCAATACAAGAAGATAAAATATAAAGCAAAACTACCTAATTAAGATGTTTATTCTTAAATCTATATTTAAAAAAATTTAATAATTTTTGGATATTACAATGAGGCTCTTGAACTTATAGCCTCTAATTAGTAATTTATACAAATATGTTGTTAATATGTGACGAAGTGATTAATGGATCCATGGTGATATTTTTAATCTTAAAGAAGTTAATGGATGTACTATGTAACTTTTGAAAATTAGAATTATTATTTTTTTACACCTTACCTACACTCATACTAATAAAAAAATTAAATTATGTATTTAAAAGATTCAAATTTGATCTTGAGAATCAAAATTATATAGTTTGTAATTTGTACAAATATATACACAATTGTCAATTTTTTTCATAATCGAATTCAATTTTTTAAGTAGTTTTTATGAAAACTATTAAATTTCTTAATCTTTATAAATGTAGACAACAAGAATCCTCAATTACAAAGCTAATTTTCTTATATAATCAAACTGTTGTAAAGTAATCATACATACAAACCAAAGACAAGCAGATTCAAAGGGAACATTCCTTGTAGATTGAAAAAAATGTTTCAAACTTTTTTGCCCTTACAAAAAAAATAAAATAAAATAAAATAAATAATGATCACTCTTATAAAAAGATAAAAAAAAATCATGATAATCATAAACCCTTATCTAACTAGGTTTTTATAATCCCACTTTTTACGTCTAATTTAACAAGGAATCAATCAATGGAGCATTGGAGTAACGAAGAACTCAAAAGCCTAAAAAAATGCTCTCATTCATATCCATGAATGGAAAAAATCAAAATGAAATACTGGGAAGGGACATCTTCATGATAAATTTTCATTCAAAAGGCCAAGTTGTATAAACATTCCAGAAATGAGCATCTTCAAGATTTCTCTACACATAAGTGTAAAGAATCCACAGCGTGTTAGCAAAAGCCTTTAGCATTTGCTTCCAGGTTTCTGCAAGGATCTCGGTTTGAGCAGCAGGAAACAAAAATCCACTAAAACTTGGACGTAACACTTCACATCTATTTTAGGTTCCAGTCGGTGTTTAGTTTCTTCGTTCGATGTGTCATGCGCTCTCATCAAACCGTGTAATCGAGGGGTGCTGATAAGATCAAGACAGTTTTACCTACTGCAGCAGGAGTTGCAGTGACCGAGCCTGCCCTACTGTTCAACACACACACCAAATAACAGGAGATTACTTGGCTTAGGTAGCAAAGTCACTCGGGTCTACCATTTCATCCCCACTTGCATCATCTGGCAAGGGTAGAACTAAAAAAACATTTTGTAATAGCTGGAGGCTCTATTCAATCAGTACAGCGTGCAAAGCTTAAGCTTATCGAAAATTCAGCCAGTGCTTGTAAATGGGATGCTTCGCTGCGACCTGCCAGGTCTAACTCCATGAAGGGTCAAATCTTCAGGCTCTGATGAAATAATGTCAGAGTGGTCTTACTCAGGAACATCTGACATATAATAAATTCTTGGAATCATGGTCCATAACCAAATTTTTTCTTCAGCCTTGCGCTGACACTGTTCTCACTTCTATACACCTCATTGTAAACAGCATCCCAGTTATGCTTGGTCTTTTTTTCTGCTTCAGATAAAGACTGCAAACCACGTCCAATTTGAGCCGCATCGCTGGCACCCCAAACAGCACCAAGACCCCTCTCAATGCTATCTCCATACCATAATATGCCAGCCCCTGCCATCATGCTGCTCCCAAATATAACCCAAGCACCTCGACTGAATTTTTTCTTTTGCCTCTCCCTCATAGCGTTGTAGAAATTTGTGCGAATTGCTTGAAGAAATTGCCTCTGCAGCCCTGATACGAGTCCCTGTGAAGCCACTTGAGCTTTTTCAGCAGTAAGTGCAGCTTTTCCAGCGGATACGGAAGTAACTTTTGCAGCTGAAGCCTTCACTGGAAGAACAATTTTTGACGCTCCAGGCATTCCCTTAGCAACTGTAAGAGCAAGGGAACGTTTGCTGTTCAAGAATCCAATCTTGAATAGTGTGGTAGACTTCGCTAAGACAAACTTCACCAGGGGACTTAACGGGCCAGCCCAGTGAGGCAAATATGCTAGACCAACTGCAGCAGCTGCACCTGCACCAACAACAACAGCGGCTTTCTTCTCTTGGCTAGCTTCTGAATGATGAGACGTTTTCTCTCCAAATGAAAACAACGTTTCAAGAAAGTCTACTTCTTTAACTTCATCTGTGGAGACGTAGCACTCATCAATGAGTGGAATGAAATCCTCAGGGATTTGTTGGTTCCACTGCTGGCGAATCCCAGCCACACGATTCACATCTACAACTGCCACTACTGTTCCATGCTCTCGTGCTTCTTTTTGCAGGGACTGAGCTAAGATAGCATGGCTCTTATCTTCATATGGAAGGTCGTAAAATTCTGCTGCAGAGCGACTTGGTACCTAGATATCAAAAAATTCGCAGTCAACAGATCAAATTTATGACAGAAATAAGGGAAAAATCCACTGCCTCAATCAAAAGTAGGACTTGCAAACAAAGGCAGGTTTTACTCATTTATGGTTAGTGAAGAAATTATGTTGCAAGCTGTCAGACTACATGTAGGAAAAGAAATGTGCAAGGTTTCAAAATTAACTTGAACAATAAAGAAAACCAAATGAATCGTACCGTATACAGATACATCACCGCAAAGAACCCAGCAAAGCTCAGCGCAGAATTTGCTGACATACCTTGCGAGCAGATGCTAAAATTGAATTATTCATTCGCACCCGGCATATCTCCACAAAAATTCGAAACATAGAAGCCTTTCGGAGGTCATTAGAGCTGACCTCTTGGCCCCTTTCCACGGCTTGACACACATTCAGTGCGTGCGAAGCCGCATCAATATTTTCACGCATTCGAAATAGTCCGTGAAACGCTTCGAAAATAGGAAGGAAAGGAAGCGCTAATTTTGGATGATCAGATGCTTCTTCCGACGTTTCTTTCGAGGGCTCAGTGCTGCCATCACAAAAAAATTAAAATAAAAACAGAAAAGAAAAAAGAAAAACATACTCATAATCGCTTTACAGAGGGCTAGGATAATGAAAAATTGGAAACTTAATGAATTCAGCCACATTTTTTTCTAACTATTCCACAAATTCTTGTCATTTTTCGTAGTAATGGAGTACTCATTGGACAACGTAGGTAAAGCATCTCAATATTTTCTTCAAACTCAAAGAGAGGACTCTCCACTTGATACATGGTCATTGCATGCTAGTCAGAGGTTTATTCGCTTCAGCAGAATCATCACTGAACAATCATAAGTGACCATTTCATGCCTAGTAAATGCTCTGATAAATGCCTCGAAGTAACATTCCAAGAAAACTATAGATCATAAGAACTGTTCCCACATTCACACTCAAATTTGAGAAACAGAACCTGTTTACTAGAGTTGCTAGATGTGATTATGTGTTTCGTTTTCAAATAAGAGGAACCCAAGGAAAGAATCAGCAGATTCTACTCCAAAACCCCGAGCGATATCTAAATGAAATGGTTGATTCGATGAACTCACCTCTCTGTAGTAGGTTTCGTATCAGACAAGCTTGTATTATGACCGAACATTTGTGCTAGGGCCTGACTTGTCGACTTCCTCCATTGATGCAATTCAGCAAGCGGAGATTCTGTCACCATCCGTCGCAATCCCTCCGTGACACGCCTCGTTACTTCGGAATTCAAAGCATCTAAAACGCGATTATCATTGGCCAGGAGATTCTGTCGAGATGAATCTTGCACAGGATCCGGGCTGGTGCTAGGGGTTTCAGCGGGAGTAGAGCTTTCACCTTCTGCTGGGGGTTGGGGGTGGGCAGACGATCGGTAGGGATAGTCGATATAGCGAAACAACGCATTCACTTTCGCCGCAGCCTCTTTCGCTTCCAACACATCACCATACGCTCCCGTCCCGAAGATGGAATTCGCAAGCCTCACGCGCGCCCTGCTATCATACGGCACAATTGGATCCCGCTCAAAATTCTCCCGCACCACGTCGAAACTCGACGTCGGCACTTCAACCGGCACGCCATCCTTTGCCGCCAATCTCTCCTCCTCCCTGAACGAATCTATTGACTCCAAGTCTACTAAGGCAACAACAGCCTTCGGCTGCGCTTTCGCAATTAATTCCCTAACATCCCTGACAGCCTTCTCCGAAAAATACCAGCTAGAAAGCAGATATACAACCGACTCTGGCGAGTCCTTAGGTCGCAATGCCATCACGAACTGCGACGTAGACTCAGGCAAGTTAAGCTTCTTCACAAGTTCCCTAGATTCGACAAGATCTTTGGGATCGAACCAGGCGCGCAGCCAGTCCAGCAATGAGGCCGCCATAGCTGCGCCCCCCACTGCGTAGCACTCTCTCTCCCTCACACACAAACAGACAAACAAACAAATAAACCAACAAATAAATAAACAAACAAACAGACAGACAGAGAGACTTGGTATGTAAGACTTGAGGGAGACTTCAGCGTTTTCCGAGTAGTCTTCAGGTCTACCGGAAGACCTGGTAGCCCGGTTCCCTTGGGCGTTCCCTTTTGTTCTCCCCGTAGGCGCCGCGTTCGCCACCGCGTCTGGTTGAATTAGGTCCAGTTGGACACTTGCAACGAGGTTACGAGAGTTGGGAACGTGTTCTCTTGAATAGAACGTGTGGTTGTTTCGAGTTCCCTTGAGCGTGTCTTTGGATGCGGTTTCTATGTGGATTCTGTCGGTAACGCCTTTTTGCAGAGTTTGACTGCAGGTTGGATATTCAGAATGAATAAAAATAATGATGATAAGTGTGTTTTATTGGTACATTCTCAGTATATTTTTAGTTGGAAATAAATAATTAAATATGGTTTAGGAGAATTATTTTAGAATAGTTTATAGTCATATTGATTAGGTTTTGTAGTAATATATATATATATATATATATAGGAATGTTAAACAAATCCAAGTTTTTACTAAAACAACCCACTCATCCTAACCATCATGAAAAAAACAACCTCAAGATTCATTTCTCCACAATTGGATCTACAACCAATGAAAACAAACCACATTTATTATGATTATCATATTCTTCATCAAAGATAGGTTGATTTTGTAAAAGCATGGATCTATTTAACATTTGCTTATATGTATGTATATATATTATAACACTTAGTTTTTTTTTTATAAGAATATATTTGAAGTATGGATTTAGTATCTATTTTTGTTAATTTTTATTAAAACTAATCATAAAATTTTAGAAATATTAGAAGTTATAAAATTGTGTGATGATTTTTTTAACAAATAAATTTTTGTAGTTTTAAAATAATAACTAATATGTTTCTACCTATTTCAATTTACTTTCCATTTATTTTTATTCATCTAAATTGTATAGGTATTTATTGCAATATATTAAAGTTGATTTTTTGCCTTATCATAGTTGTATCTTGTATTTTGTCTACTTTAGGTAAATATAATATAATAATTTTGCTTGTCATTAATTAATTGTTTTCTTTTTTTTATCAAAATATAAATCATATTTGGTGGATATTTAGGATATCTTATAGTCAATCAAATGTATTACACATAAAAGAGAGTATCAATGTATTAGATCACTTAAGTACCTTTAACAAGATTTTTTGTAAGTTGATAAATATTGATGTCAAATTTAAGATAAAAATAAAGTTTTGTTCCTATTGACTTTGTTAATTCCATCATTTGAATATTTATTCACTACTTTGTTATATAAAAAAGATACATTAAAGGTAAAAATAAGTCACATATTTTTTTATCACATATCTAATAAAATGAAATAGAAACCAAATAATAACACTTTAAATTTGAAAACATTGTTTATTTATGGGAGGTAAAAAAAAACTAAATGGACAAATCCCAGGACATCAAAACAAATAAACAAAAATCTAGATCAAAATCTAGAAATTGATTCAATAAATCTAACATCAAACAATCAAACAGTATAAATTTTTTAAACAAACTAATTTTGTGGATTTAGATGAAGATTTTAAAAATACCTACACACAAAGTAATAAGATTTGAAGTATATAGCTCCTTAATAAATATTTGCTCTTGTCTCATATATAAAAGAATTGGCATAATTTGTGTCAAAATACATTTACTAGTGTAACCTTGACAAGTGTTGGTATATTCCCAAAAATACGAAAGAACTTGATTTATTTTATTGCTAGGAATTGCATCGCGACGTTGCAGGAATTGGCTCCGGAAGTGGAGTCGTAGTGTGGGCAACTCTCGTCTCGCTGCTACAGAGTATTCATGCTGCGGCGAGTCTGTCGAGACGTTCTCACTAGGATTGCCTCCCTCCGAGACACCTTTGTGGCTAACATGGCTGTAATTTGGACAGAGGAGGTGTCGGCCCATCAGCAGCAACAGCTTCTTTCTAGATCTTTCTGAGTGCTTCTAATGCCCACGCATGCACGTTGACTCGAGTTCTCCCTCAGCTTTTGAACTCGCACACGAACCTAATACAAAGTTACCATGCCAATCAGACATGAAATACTACAAAAATCCAGCGTCTACAAATCCCAGGTCCTCGAACTAAAACCTCACCCAAAGGCACCCTCAACAAAAATTCAGCACTTTTTAGAGTGGTCCTTTCTGACAATAAACTTGCCCACACTGCTGTGATACATTCCAGAAGCTGAATATTATCTTTCTTAGCATGTTCCTGCTCACGACAACGTTACATCAGAAAATCTGCACAGTGCCACCGTTTCCGATAAGATGATATGAAGCACTTGTAAGCGTATTTGTGTAAATAAGGGGGAATATCAAAACATTTCAAGCCATACGTCTTGGCAAAACAGCTACACATTTCTAGTATGACAAGTTTTAGAAATATTAATACCTCATAGAACAGGTAATATTGGCCAATAGTGATCTCCGCATTGCTGTGTAGGAGTACAGAATTCCTACCGACACTGACCCTTCTAAATATACTTCAAGTTTAGGAGTAATGGATGTGCTTCAGAGAATGGAACGAATTTTTGATTCTCTCTGTCAAGGTTGTTGTAGCCTGTTAGTCCCGCAGTGTAGAAGTCAAATGAACATGTCCACTATACAAACACATGGACTAGGCGATTACCGGGATTGCAACATAAACCTTCAATGCCCCTAAAGATTCAAGTCCTCTGCGGCCCTGAAGTGCCCCTTCCATCAAGAACCTGACGCTGTGGAGTATGAACTGAAGGTTTCGGGTTTGGGGTAACATTTTCAGTCATTGGTTGTGTGCGTTGTCTGCAGAGGTTGGCGATGGGGTCGGCAGCAGCGCCGATGTTCCAAAGCTTGGTAGTGTGAGCTTACGATGTCGAGCTTTATCAGAAAATTGAAGAGTTGATTAGGAGGAAATTGCCCGAGTTTTCATGTCAGCAGGAGGTCATATCAATGTGGGAGTGAGTCAGTGAGGCACAGAGAATGGCCACCATGCACATGTGGGAGAAAGATGGTGCAAAGAAAGGTAAGAGAAGGGGACACGGTGACGACGATGGCGATGATAATAGACGGCCCGGACGGCCAGAAAAGGGTGGTACCAAGCCTAAGAAGCAATATCAGAAGTCCCGGTGGTCGACTCTTTTCAGAACACCTCTCTTTCAACCAACATGAATTTCAAGCTTTTCAATCTACTCACGTCTTTTCTTTGACGGATTACTATTCAGTGATTGTTCTTAGATTAGAATATGCAGGTCGAAACGATTAAAATAACCTCATCAAACCATGACAACCAGTTTCTTCCACTTCCAAAAAATAACGAAATTATAGGGCCATGAAAAACTCTCCTTTCACAATACAATTGTATCAGTACCTATGAACATCTTTCTAAAGTTATGTATTTAGTTTGTGATAAATGTAAGGATGTGACATCCCAATATCAAAGAGCCACCACAAGAGCCACTACAAGTGAATATTCTATCTATATTAGAAGCATTACAAGACAAATTTCCAAGCATAGCCAAAAAAATTGAAGAGTATTTAAGTACTTTTGTTGTGTTGTAACATGGTTACTAGGTAAAAAAGAAAAAAAAATGATTATATTCTAAAAGAACTTAATTAAAAATATTATAAAAATTTACTTTGGAAATATAGATAATAGTCAAGGAGGTAGAAAAACTAATAAGTGCTAATGCTGCATTTTGTAAAATAGGCTTCTACTCACTATGTATAGCCAATAATAAAACAAAATAAAATAGATAGAAAAAAAATGAGTAATAAAGACATCTTAAAGAAAAAGTAAAGAGTAGTTTGTAGCAAAAATTACCTTATAAAATCTAGAAATTGATACCTCAAGAAGACCAATTGTGAACCAAGGTTGAAATTAGACCTTAAGGCACAATATCAGACATATATAGCAATTTTGGGGTTTTTTTGCCAATCAAAGAATAAGATTAGAGAGCAGACTTTAGAAAGATTGTTTTAGCATTAGTTTCAAGTGATTTGGATGGATATCAAATTTTTGAGAGCTTTTCAAAGTGAAAAATGTATACAATAATTTTGGGTTTTAAAAAATAAAAAGCTACTTACATATATCAAGAATTTGTGAGTATTGTAACAGACATATAAGTAAAATTTTATAGATCTATAACTATGCTTATATTAAATGTATTTTAAAAATCTTGAGTAAATCATTAGTTAAATTGAAAGACATAAGAATTTGATTGAGTTAGGATCTAAAGTATTTAAATTTTAGAGTCAATGAGATTTTCTATAGTCCTAAAAAATCTGCTAATACAAATGAATTGGAATTTTGTGAGAGCATAGAATGCTTAAGTTCTTATACTTTTGCTAATTAACAAAGCAACTGAATAGTTCAACAAGGAATAATTGTTGCTAGAAGATCAACATTCAGATTCAAGAAGAAAGATGGCTAATACCTAAGAGTACAAGAGGTTTTTTTTTTTCAATTGGTTAGTTTAATTTTTCTCAAACTTTGTGTGCTTTTTTTTTTACTTAAAGATTAAAATGTGAAAAAAAAATAGTCAAAATCAACATATCAATTAATAATTATTAAGATTTTAAAACTAATATAGAAATTTTATTAGAATTTTTTAAGGATTTATTTAGGATTTTATTAGAACTTAATTAAGAATTAATTAAAATATTTTAAAGATTTTATTGACATTTTTTAATATTTCTTTAAAAAATATATTTTTGATACTTCTTTAGGATGTTTTTAGTATTTTTTAAAGGTTTATTTATATTTTTTATGGTTTTTTAATAAAATTTCTTTAAGATATATTAAGAATTGATTAATGTTTAATTAGAATTGCTGAGGTTGAATTTGGATTTATTTGAGATTCTATTTAAATTATTAGGACCTTTGTTGTTGCAATTTCTAATTTACTTTCCACAGCCAAGTGTCTAGTGCATTCTCACGCAAGATAATACGTTAAACAATACCACACAAAACCTAAAAAATTATCTAAAATTTATTGTCATCTTCTTTAGTAGTATGCTTTACAAGCTCCTATTCTTCCTATTAACACTCACAACTCTTTTTAAAACTCTCTAATTTATTTTTTGTGAGCATCAAGAAGAAAATGCAAGGCTTTTATTACTTCATTTTGTATCTATATTAACACAAAATATAATTTAAGAGTCAAATGCCTATTGAAATTCTTGCAATTATAAAAACCACATGACTTCAATTTATAACAGAATAATTAGTTACAAAAGCTGTGGAAATCAACCAATTGGAATTGATATCACTTATTTTGGTTATTATTTATAAAACTCATGCAAATCAACCTCAATCAACTTAAAGAATTTTTCTTTTTTGTGATTTTAAAAATATATATATTTTGCTATTTAGAACTAAATGGTCCACTATTCAACCAAAATAAACACTTCAACTAAACATAGCTTTTAGTATGCATCCTATTAAATATCCTTCTTCATATGTTGTCAAGTTCAGCATACTTGAGTCTAGTAGATGTTGTTGATTTCTTTTTAGTACATCTAGCCATTAAAATAGTCGACACTAATATCAATTCTTTTATCCCAAATTGCCTTTCTAACAATACTTTTGTCATCATTTACAAGTTTAGTAAAATTTGGATATAATTTTGTAGTTCCATTGGCTAAATAGATGCCCAAGTAAACAATATTGATATTTTAAAGTCTCATTTAAATAACTTTATATCATAGGCATACAATCAAATTTTGGCACTTGCCAATAGTACAAAAATACACTTGAATACTTCTCATCAACTTGGTAAAATAGCTCCAATTTCCAATACCCACACCTTACCATGCAGAAAGTCCATGAGATCAACATTACAATAGTAGAAGATGAAAAAAGATGTATCAAGTGTATGATGGATTCTTCAAGGCCAAATAAGTTGAGCAATTTGTGGCTGCAATCTATTGCAACAACAACCAAAACTAATTAATTTTTAAGTTGATTTTTAACAAACACATCAAAAAAATGATAAGTCAATAAAGATATACACATTGGTGAGATTGAAGTAGGATTGAAGAGCCTTGGGTATCCTTCATGTGCATGAATGTTAAGCGTTTAGGAGTTTTGTCCAAGAGATCAACTGCCCACTTTGTATATTGAAACTTCTTACACTATTAATGGCCTTTCACACTACTTGCTACAAGCATTCCTTGACATTACTATGCTCTAGTTGAATTATTTGTGAACATTACTATACTCCTCTTATTCATTCTTGTCTAAAGAAATAACTTAATTTTTTTAAGTATAAAAGAAAAATAGATAAATAAAATAAATAAAATAAAATAACAAGCTGTAATCCAAATGTTTTATGCTGTAAAGTTTTATTGAGTGTTTTTTGGATGTTGATAATACCATTGATGAATATAAATATAAATATTTACAAATTCATGCTAATAAAAATATAAATATTTACAAATTCATGCTAATAAAAATAATGGGATTAAAAAAAATTATGTATTATGTTGCTTTTTCATTTACATTGTTGATAGATAGTAATAAATTATGATATTATGTAATCACTACAATGAATTGTATTTTTCTACTGTAACAGTCCAATATGGTTAATCTTTTTACTTAAAAAACACTTAGATGTTACAGTATTTTTTTTGTTTTTCAACTTTTTTTTGAGTGATTAAATCTCAAAAGTTCTTTTAAAAAATAATTTTCAAGCAAAAGAAAATTAAAGCTACGATGCATTTAATACGTTGCAAAAGAGTTTACACAATTATCTTTTAAAGTGATTTTTTGTATTCATTACTATATGTTGAGAGAAATGTCAATATGTATATATATATATATATATATATATATATATATATAATAGTTTAAAACCTGCATATGTCCAAAACCTTTTTCAACTAGGAACCATTGATATTGAAGAAAAATACAACTCATTGTATTTTCTAACCCAGAGTCAATTCATTGTATTTCTAACCCAGAGTAGACAATAATAGCAGTAAAAATAAAACTTGGATAATGCATTATAGAGGCAATTCCATTCGTTAGATTTTATCTAATTTCAAATGAAAACCGCTGAATCAAAGTTTTTCTAAATTTTAAAAAAAATTAAAATTAAAAAACAAAAGATGAATTTTCCATAAGTTTAAATTATATAATACAATTCAATGTCCTTCACCATGCCCGTAGGCACCATTCCAATGAATTGAGGTCCAAAGCTAATTTCTGGGAAACCCTAAAGGAAAAAAAATTGTATGTATGTATGTATGTATGTATGTATGTAGGTATACATATTATTGTTATCAAAAAAAAAAATACTCTGTTGAGAAAAAGATACAAAAACAAAATAAATGTGGGAGATTCAATGGACAACGAAAGCCGCATTCAACACCCCAGGTGTGAACACACGAGCGGCTACCCAGGGCTCGTGTGAACAAGTCCCTGTGCCACGCAAGCGAAATAAGAATGCCACGTCAGGAGAAACGTGGCGCACAGGGAGGAGAGGATGTGGTTCATGGGGACTCCACCGAACCCCATCCACCCGGCCCGGTCCCGGCCTGCCCTGTCCAAACGCTTTGAAGAACTTTTCGAGGAGGAACGATGTGGAGCACTTGGATTCCATCAACTCACCCTGTGGCTCCCGTTCTCACACCCATGCATATTCATCCATCCACTGACCACTCATCCACCGCCGCCCTCTCATGCATCCATCCATCTTCACCAACAGTTGGCTTTCCCCTCACTGAGAACGGAATATTCCAAAAGATTCTCACCCTCCTCGTCCTCCTCTTCTTCCTCCTGCTTTGCGGCTAAGCTTGCTTGCTTGGTGAGAGATGGGGCGATGAATGGAAGCCAGCGAAGGAGGACGGAATTCGGAATTCGCCAAAGCGGCCTTCCTTCGCAGCCACGAGTGCTGGTTCGGAGGATCGTGATTTGTGTGCGGCGTGGAAGTAAAGGGAAAATTTGCGCGGCTCACAGAGAGAGTCGCTGAGCGTCAGGGTCTTTCAATTCTCAGTGCGACATTTGTGCGTCGAGCTTTGTGGGTTTGAGAGTCGGTGAGCTGGGGTCCTTGATGGTTGGTGTAGAAATTGAAGGAGGGGAGTTATTGGTCCTGGATTCTGACGCTCGGGGTGAATCTTTCCAGCTAGTGTTGGATGTGTTGGTCTGCTCCGTGAGAGGAAAAATTGTTCATAACCACACGGATGTGCTTGTGGAAGTCGGAATAGGATTCTAACGGGGAACAGGCCTAGTTCCTGAGTTTAATTCTATTCGGTTTTGCTGCCTGTGGGGTGTTTGTGGCATACAGATTGTTTTTCTCTTGTGTTGATAGGAAATTGCAGCAATGGCTACCGTGAAAGGTTTGTGCTCTTCAAGCTTAGCACCCTCCTCCTCTTCCTCCTCCTCACAGAGGTCTTTGATCTCACCAGCCTCGTCGTCACACGCCTCTCGCTTCTCCTCGTCGTCATCTCGCCTCAACGTGCTCTACAATGCAGAACCCGTGCGCCACTCTCGCAGGAACTCCAGATTAGTTACGTTTGCAGTACTGGCAGAACCTAAGATTAAGGTGACATCGCCATCGATAACCAGAACTAACGAGCCGGAGGTCGCAGGGATAGCAACCGCAGATTCTCAGATTCTAGAGTTGGCCAGTACATCACATTTGCAAGCCAAGCTCCAGAGTCCTGCAAAAGCAACTCCCAGGAATAAGAGTCCCGTATTGGGACTCACTGATACCAGTTTGAAATCAACTCTTGAGCACCGCCTCTGGGTAGCATTCGGCGGAGCGATGGTCACAGGAATGATGACCAAGGCCCTGATCGCCAGCCATTCTCCAGAAGGTTACTTGGAAGTGGCGGTCGGCGTTGCTTCGGCGTGGGTACTCGCTGATCTCGGCACGGGATTCTACCACTGGGGGGTCGACAACTACGGCAATGCAAAGACCCCAGTCTTCGGCTCACAAATCGATGCCTTCCAGGGACATCACCAACGGCCCTGGACGATCACTAAGCGGGAGTTCGCGAACAACATTCACGCCATTGCAAGACCTGCCGGCCTCTTCCTCAGCCCCTTCTTGCTCACGCCCAACCAACCTTTCTTCGATTCTTTCCTCGGACTATTCCTAGGCTTCGTGGTGATGAGCCAACAGTTCCACGCATTCTCTCACATGAAGAAATCTCAATTGCCACCATTCGTCGTCGCGTTGCAAGACAGCGGCTTCCTCCTCAGCCGCAAGATGCACGGGACTCACCACAAGCCACCATACGACGTGAACTACACCATCGTCAGCGGGTTATGGAACCCGATACTAAACGAGACTCAAGTCTTCAAGAAGCTGGAGAGATATATCTATGAGAAATGGGGCGTGGCGCCGAGAGCCTGGAGTGACACATCGGAAGAGTGGATGCAAACAGACAGTTACTTCGAAGACGGCACAGAATTCGACCCAAGCCAATCTTCGTGAGCAACGCCGCTCACCGAGTTGTCGCATTTGTAGAATCCCCTTTGTACCTTAACACAATCCCCCCCCCCCCCACATGTTTCAGCCGATTCTGAACCCGACTACATCTGCCGAACAAGAGTAGTGTTGATCGATGAGGTTGAGATTGCCAGACAACTAGATAGAGTTCATTCTTTTGACGCCACGAAAACGATCGTCAAGCCGGTGCTTTCTCCGACCCAAGTTGAGAGATTTAGTGCATTCTGGAAGGAAGATGGTGTATCGAATGTCGAACCAGACAATTACGTTTCTTTTTTCATTTTTGCCTTTGTTATAAATTTCCTACCTTTCCTACAGTCTGCACCTCTCTTTCGATCTTCTGTTGCTGATGTTTCTTCTGCTTCTGTGACCTCAGAAATCCATAACTTCATATGGGTTTTACTACTGTTAATTGTGTGCCCCGAGCAAGAATTTGCCTTCTCCAACGTGAACTTCTCACTTAATTCTATCCGGATGGTTTCATAGCTTTCTGGCAGCTTCATTCACTCAACAATTTGGAATTCACTAGGGGTCAATTTCACGTTGAAGAACATGATCTTGGTTCGGTGGTTACAACTTCCACTAACACTAAGTTCTCAATCTATCTAAGCATGTAATGTGTTTTGTACTATGTACTGGATATCAAGTCTAGCAAGGAAAATCGTTTGATTTTTTTTCTATTACTTTTTGTTTTTCGATCCTTGACCAGAATATAAGTTCGCAATCTTACAGTGTAATGATATTGTAAATTCTCTCTGGTAACCAATTTTTTTTTTTTTTTTTTTTTTTTTTTTTTTCTAAATCTTCCTGTTTTGCTACAGGGAAATCAATCAAAAACATATTTTTGTATTAAATAGCCGAAGTTTTGAAATGAAGTTTTATTCATTTATTTATTTTATTTATACCTATGTAACTTAGAGCCATTGGAATGCATACATTGGTACAAGAGCATTAGTTAATTGTTATTTTAGTAATTCAACTTCTATGAATGTCACATCCAAGGAAGAAGAGTCATGTTGTTGCTTGGCCTGCGTTTTGTTGAATCTAAATAAACTAATGTATTATTTACATCTCATTCTGCCATGGAGAAGGCTTATGCTTATGTTCCTACTTTTCATTTGTTGATGTATTCAGGGTATTTTGAGATATTTTTATGGAGATAAATATTGTTTTCTAAAGAAGGAAAATATCTTGGAAACTGTGTTGTTGTATGAGGTTGGAATAGGATTGTTGTGTTTATGATATAATATGTTTTTTGTTATCTAGCTTCATGTTATATTCTCTCATTTATACCTCTAAAATAAATAGAAAATAATTGCATTTTTTCCTTGAAAATGTTTTTAAAAACCTAAAATAATTATCTTGTTGATATTGGTTTTTTAAACATTGATTTCTACTATATAGTCTTAAATTAATAAAACTAATTTAGCTCTATTTTTTTTTAATTTCTTCCCCTATTCTATTGTGGCTCATCTCAATAGAAATGCTTTTCAACTTTATGTATTTATATTTATTTATTTATTTATTGATATTATTTGTCCTCATTATTACAAAATAGACCACAAAATATATTGTTTATGCTATTGAAATCTAAAAAGACATTGGTTCCATTGATCCTATTTTACACAAATAAAATTTACACTCTTCTTCTTTCTATTTTAAATTATAAAACGTACACTAATTTATTTTGTAGATTCTTTCAATAATTATAGGACGAACATGTTAAAGCAAAAGATGTCTAGATTAATTGCAAGCTATATCTGTGTATATATATATATATATATATATATATACTAAAATATTATTTAATAAAATCTATGTAAAATCTAAAAATATTTAATAAGAGACTCATAATTTCTTCATATAAAATAAGAAAAATATATTAAAGATCAAGTAATAATCTCTTATAATTTGTAATAATTTTGGCCAAAAGTACATCTTTTTTAGTAGATTTGAAATTTAAATCTAACAATCATTATATATATATATATATATATATATATATATATATAAAATAAAAATAAAAATCAAATTTAAATTTTCTACTTAATATATTTAATAACCATAAATTAATATAAAAAATAAAAATAAAAATCAAATTTAAATTTTCTATTTAATATATTTAATAACCATAAATTAATATAAAAAATAAAATTAAAATTAATCAATGGCTTGATATTATTTATATATAATTTACCAAGATTGATTTTATCTTATCTATTCTATTTTTATTTTATATAAATATAAATAATATAGAATTATAATATTACTTAGATATTAATATAAACACTCTTCTTTTAATTACATTTGCTTTGATCAATAGTCAATATTTAATATCTTAGTAGATGAGACATCTATTAAAATTTGAATTATTTATTTATTTATTTATTTAAAAGTTATTAAATTTATATTAATTTATCCTTAATCTAAATATTTTACAAAAAATATCTAATAATAATGACTTTATTTACCAAAGTCTCCTTATTATAGATTGTTTATGCAATATTATCAATATTTTTTGTAAATATTTGCTATCTACTACTATCTACCAAAATAATGTCTTTAATATGACTTGTTATAATTTATTATGTAACAATATTTATTATTCTATTACAAATCAAAAACAACATATATGGTGCTGATAATATTTTCTTTCAGAAGATCTTTTTTTTTAATTATAAATATAATTAATATCTCTCCATTCAACTTTGTTTGTATAATTGTGTTATGAAATCAAAGTTTGGTATAAATAATGAACTATAGTGGCATAGGTCTTAGATGTTTGATGTATGTATATATATATATATATATATATATATATAGATATGTGTATATATATGTATGTGTATCATAGTATACTTCTTAGCCATTTAGAAACATTTTTGAGAAGATTTTTAGCAAATATGGAAATAGTTTTTAAGAACTATATCCCTTCTTCTTCTCTAGGAAAAGAGAGTAGAAGAAATACTCTTATAACACACTATTTTTGTCTAATTTGGTGAACAATTGAGATATCTTATAAATAATCATTAGAAGATTTAATAACTCTAATGCATAACTTTAAAAAATTAAAATTATACATGTATTTGTATCAAGAACATGAACATCAAAAAACTAAAAGGTCAATATACTCTTGTGCTACTCAAAAAGACTAATAAATCACTTAAAGATGATATAGTATTAAACTAGAATGGCTATTGTCAAAGACAAAAAGACTAGAAAGTCTTGAAATAAGAGTAAGGACTAGAAAGACATTGAAAAGAGTGAAGAAGACTTTATTCTTACCTCCATATATACTCTCTAACTAAGAGCTATTGTCATAGACATACACATGTAAGCCAGTACTTATCTGTATAAATAGGTAGAAGTAAGTAGAAGTAGGTAAAACTAAGTTAATTCTATAATATCTTCTATAGAAGCTTCTTAGAAGCTTCATAGATACTATTTTGAATTTTATAGGTGTCTATAATTGACTTTTTGGGTTAGAAAAGTGGTCAACAAGTTGGCCATGTGCCACACATGTTCTTAGCTTGAAGACCAAGCTAACTATGTGGCCCACACATAGAAAAACTTGCCTTGTTAGTCAAGGCTTGTGCCCTACAAAGTCAACACATATTGCAAGTCTTATAGAACATTGTCACGTAGCCTCTACTAAGATAGTATATATAGAGAGAAGAGTGAAGCTCTCTTCACTCTTATCAACTCCTTTCTTGCTTCTAGTCTAGTTTCAAGAGTCTCAAGTTTCCTTGTCTTTTGGCAATAAGCCATTCTAGTTTCTTTCTAATATACATACTTCCTTATTTCTATTTTATTATTCCTTCTTTGAGACAAATTTTATTGATTTATACATCATCTTTTAGTTCATGTTCTTGACAGCTATGTAGCAATGTTCTATAAGACCTCCAACATATATTAACTTTACACGACACATATTTTAATTTGTAAGGTAAGTTATCTATATGTAGGCCACATAGATAGCTTATTTTACAAGCTACTAATATGTATTATACGTGATTAACTTGTTAACCAAATTTCTAGCCTATTAATTAACTACAAACATGTATAAAGTAAAAGTAGCATCTATGAAGCTTCTAAAAAGCTTTTCTAGAATATATTATGAAATTAATCTATTTTTACCTACTTCTATTTAATGATATAGATAATTATTAGAATAAATATATATATATCCATGATAATTTGATTAGATCTTAGTAAAATAATCCTATATATATATATATATATATATATATCTTTAATTTATCTATTTTTTATTTGAATAATTAATTATTTTATTGTTTCTATATTTTTAAATATTAAAAAGAATAATGTATAAATTTTCAGATTTAAAAGACATAATTTAATGAATATTTTTATTCAAATATATATTTTATTTTTCTTCCAAAACATAAATTAATATTAAAATATATAAATTAATATGTTGTAAAAAAATTATTTTATCTAAAAAATTTAAATTATATTTTTAAAAAAGACTTATATTTTTTAATTAATATAAATATATTTTATTTTTTTATTAACTTTTCAAAATAAAATGAAGTGTATGTATGATATAATTTTTTTAATTATCTTAAATACATCTTATTCAACAATATACATATATTGTTAAATATATGTATATAAGTCCATTCAACAATATACATATATTTTTAATCTATTAGAAATTTTATAATTTAAATTTTAAAGTATTTATAATAAAATCAAGATTTCTTTAATTTTATTTCTTTAGAAAATTAATATCATAAGAATAAAGAACTTATAGGATATTAAAATCTTTTTAGCACTTTAAATATATACATTTTTATTTATATAAAATATTTTTCTTACATCTAGTATTTTAATCGACTCTAATATATTTTTTTATATCTATTTATTATTTAATTTTAAATTTTCATATATAATTTTAGAGAAAAAATTATAAGCAAACATTATTAATGCTTGACTTTTTTTCTCATATTTTGATTATAATTTATTTTATTTTTTTAGTATTAAATCAAATTTTAATCAAAAATTTGTATATATTACAACCAATTTGGCATCAATTGATGATTTAATTATAATAGAAAGTTTCAATATTACTTATTTTTATAAATAATAAATTTTATTTTTTAATTTATTTTTAATAGATTTTAAAAAATTAACAAAGATATGGTATCTTAGATTTCTTTTTTATCTTCTACAAAACTATTTTATTCTTCTCAGTCATTTTTTAAATAAATTAGAATTATTTATCAATTTTTTTTATTTAGAAATAAGTATTTTATTTTTATTAGAAATAAGTATTTTATTTTTACTTAGAAATAAGTATTTTATTTTTACTTAGAAATAAGTATTTTATTTTTGTTTTATTCTTATACATGTTTTTTAACCAAAATACTTTATGGTTTGAAATTCATCTAGAAAAGCTTAATATTTTTTAAATCTTATTAGAAATAGAAATCATGTAGATTTATGCAATGAAAGTGATTTGAAATATTATGTACTTTACAAATAAAATACAATGCCAAATAATACAATAAAAAGATTATCTAAGATAAAAATTTTATCTTTAAATTTTATAAATAGTTAATTTTTAAATATATATTAAATAAATAAAAATTTATAAAACCATGTTAAAACATGTAAGTTGAGGCTATAAGCACACTTTAACATGGTCTTACTGATTGGCAAGCAAGCAAGGTCAAGGATTTAATTAAGGCTATAAGCACACTTAATATGTAGTTTTAGTTGAGGCTATAAGCATACCTAATGTTGATGTGTGCACATCCATAACATGTGGAAGGTTGTAATTAGTGGAATGTTTTAATATGGATCCTACCACCTAACACAAGTATGGAGGTAAGGGAGGTAGTAGCCTTCTTCTTTAGTGGTCTTGCTGACCGGCCAAAGAGCAAGGTTAAGGATAGTATTCCTCTAAGAAAACTTTGAATCTATTTGCATTAAAGAGACAAGATCATTTGACAATTGAAGTGCTAACCAAAACTAAAGCCTCATAGATCTCTACTAGCTTAATACAAATATACTCTTGTCACCATGTCACTTTTCTGAATTTGTGAAGAAGGCTATAAATGAAGCTTCAAACTAAACACTTGTAATAGAGATGTTGGTATTGTGTACTAGAATCAATTGTTGTTAATTGCTCCACTGCTTCCCAAGAAGTTATTCTATTACTTTTTGTCTCTTTCCATTTGCATTAGGATTTAGAAGTTGGAGATAAGAATCTAAAATCTATGATCTACATTTTTGGAATAATACTTGGAACTATATAAGTTTTAGGTCTATGAAAGATCATTATCTAAAACTCAACCTCCAATTCTAGCCTTGGCTCATGTGGTTTTGGAGACAATGGATCTTCTCAAAGGACTTTTTGAAGGGACAATTTGTAAATCATGTGGAATTGTTGAAGTGTGAGAGGAATAGGATACAACTTAAGAGATCTATAACAATTAGGAGGAACAAACAAAGAGGAGCAATGCAATTGGATTTGTTGTATTTTGTTGGATTGTGAAATAAAGGAAAAAGAATTGATTGAAAAATTTAGCAAGTATGATGAAAAGGAGAGGCTTCAACCAACAAAGATTTTTCATGACGTGTGGAGTGGATCCACATGGAAAGCAACAACAATTATTTGGTAGGGAGTATTATGAAGGTTTTTGGAGTATGGTGGTTTGTGGTGGTCATCTACAATCATGAGAGACGAGTGGGATGTAGATCTGGTTATTTTTGTGATATTTAATGACAATGAAGTAACAATTATTGTTTTTCTGAGCAACTTTGGTAGTAAAATAGTGTTGTTTGTTGATAAAATTCAACTTGTATCTCTAAGAAAGACATAATAAATCAATTCAAATCCTTATCCAATAACAAATCAAATTGCATTTATTTAATCATATTTGCTAACTAATTAGTGGAACCACCAAAGAGGAGGTTGTTGTCCTCCCTCACCTCGATACTTGTGTCAGGTGACAGAATCCACATTATAACACCCTACCAATCTCAATCCTCCCCATAATTTGGGTATGCACATAATAACATAAGATGTGCTTATACCAAGTTAAGATGTGCTTGTAGCCTCAATCAAATATATAATGTCTTAATAAATTTTATAGTTCAAAAAGTACTTAATGAGTATTTTAAAAAGCATATATATATAACTACATACAATATATAACTACAACAATATACTATATACATACTATATATAACTACAATAATTATATATATATATATATATATATAATAAAATAAAATAATTTTACATTTGATTTAAATAGTATGTCTAAAGATTTTATGTTAAAAAAATTTTCTTAGAAGATAGATATTATATTATTTAGATTTTATTCTACTTTGTCATTATATCAAATATCTAATCATGTTATTTGATTTGATGTTAACAAGTTAGCATCCTAAGTTAATATTTTATTATAAATTACAAATAGACATGTATAAAAGAGAAGTTTTCTTATTGGAATAAATAAATATATATAAATATATATATATATATATATATATTTGTGAGTGGATAGCAAGTTTTGCATGCAATAGCACAAATTATGATTGACAAAATGTTAAAGATATAATCATGTGTATTTGTAGAGTTTACAGCTGAAAATAAGAGGCAAGTAAAGCAATACGCTTCAATTGAAAAATCTATCTTATACACATCACTTGAACATAGCTGATACTGAGAAAACATGCGTCAAATCAACTTCCTATTGCACTCTACATAATGCAGTTCAATTGCTAGTTTTCTTGTCCTGCAATTTCGCATTCACGCATTCACGTTTTCCACAGGAAGCATTACAGACATTACAGAAGATAGATTTTTCTTCTTGGGGTCCCCAACAGGAAAGTGATTAGCTTTGGGGTGTCAATATCAGAAATCAGCTACACCTACCTGTGGTCGTCGTAGCTGCATCTTTCAATGCATCACTGTCTCACTCTCAGATGTATACAACTAATGCACTGAGAATGAGGGATTTCAAAGCGCCGTGGAAAATGTGCGACGCTGAACCCAGTGGGCAGAATGTCTGCCGAGTCAAACACTACATTAAACGAGTAATGCAACTTTTGAAATATTACAAGAGACTGCAAGTGACAGTCTGGTTGAAATTTGATTACGAAGGTGATTCATCAACTTCCCAAAATAAAACAAATCGGGGAACAAGTTTGCTATTCTGAAAATAATGAATCGGGGAACTGTCATGGCTCTAAACTTAGAGAAACCTCTAACAAAACCAATCTTAAGAGAGATCCAACGCTTTGGATAGCATCTCTATCCATGGCGTGTATAATATTCAAATAATTGAAAGGTAGAACCAAAACCTGGATTAGCCCGAAGAGCTCAAGGAATATGATGCTTGAAAACGAGATTGGCCCCACAAACGGAAAGCTTAAATCTTCAAACTCCGGAGGTTTTCTGGTCTCCATCTGGTAATCGATAAATTGACCATCTTCAGACATCTTTGTAGATGTACGGTTATTAGCACTTCGGTTAGTTACACACTTGTAGGAGAAACCCATTATATCACATGATTCTTGCTCACAATCTTAAAAACAAATCTGTTTCTTGTTTGATACATGAGTAGAAACAATTCGATTGACGAATGGTTGGCTTTGCAATCCTTGTACAAAATGCATGAAAATTGATTCGGTCTAATCCCAAGTGGAATTGGGTGCCATTTAATCAGGTGTATCTGCAAGTGAAACTTCAGCACAATTTCATCAAAATTTCTGAAGCAGGTTCTGATCTGAGGCTGGTCCACGCCATGAGAGGTTCCCAGTGAGCCTTCACGTCCACTACCCCACTCACTCGTTTCGCAGCCCACCACAGAAATGGAGTTGTCATGGCAGTGTACACCCCGATCCCCACTCCTCGCATGATGCCATTTGTATAAATCGGTGACCCCAAAGTCAATAGAGCTCCTATACCTCCAAGCCAGGGAGTCAACACCGCAAGAGCAGGAAGCTGGAACACATTGATCACCAAGGTGAGGAGGGAGAACGATCCCAGCAGAAAGACTCCCCAGCCCATGAAGGGATGCACTGTGGTGGGGATAGTGAAGGCAGGGAGAAGGAAGCTGCCAGTTACCAAGCCAAGGATTATGACCTTAATGGACCAAGGACGATACAGACTCTTCTCAGCACAGGGGCCGCGACCGAAGCACGAGATTCTAGCCATGGAGCTCTTCTCCGAGGACGCGCATTTTTGCCGAATTATCAGTGCCAGGAGCATGATGATAATGTACAAGAGACTCTCGGCTATGAGGATGGGTGTCTCGACCATAAATCTGCAGTCCACATACCATAGGAATGACTAATGGATTCGGAAAACTCGGTGCAATTAATGTATGGTTCTTGACCTCCTGAAAAATCCTACTAGCAAGAGACAAAATATGCGCAAAACTGCAGCAGTAAACCATCTGGCTCTTACTTACCCAATGGTTGCTACACGCTTTTCGTGCCATAAAAGCCCCAAAGGCAGGGTTGGCCACGACCACCAATACCAGGGTTTCAACATGGGGACACTGGGAAATGTGATGACGCTATTTGGGCCGCACGGTATTCTCCATTTGAGCTTCAGATCTGTACATAATTTACAGTGATATTTAAGTATTCTCCCAAGCTTGTCTACTGCAACGAATCTCTAGGATGTTCTTGCCATGAAGAAGGCACTGCAATCTCCTTATCCAACATGGGACCACTCCTGTCTAAATCGGTGACAACCATCATATTCGGGTGGATCAGAATCCTCGTTGAATTTTAAGGAACAAAGTCATTCACCTCTCTCTGATTCTACTAGCTTCATCAACAATTCCTCCAAAGAAGCTGAAATGATGATAAGAAGCAACTAGTTGAAAAAAGTCTTTAACATGGTCTCAGAAATGTCTGAAATTCTGATCCCCAAGTACTTACAAAAAAATGAAGCGTCCATTTGATATCCAAGTGGAAGCCGAAATAGCCCAGTCAGTCTTGAACCGTCAGCAGGAGGGTGGAACAGGGGTTGATCGAGAAGATCGTTAAAATGGTTGACCAAGAATCCTTGATCTGCTCCATCCTTGTTCTCCTTTCCAATGCTGATATCATGCATCATGATACTGAAAGTTTCATTTGATGGCTGTATAACACAAAAAATCAATAAAATGTTAGAGAGTAATGCGTATTGCTCAAGACTGTTAACTTCGGCAATCTGCTTCAATTTTTAAGAGAAATGCCATAAAGACATGCAGATGGCTGCAACCCTGACCGCGGAAAGACCTGCAGTTATCAACTTGCCTGCAGAACAAATAGACCCGTGTGGAAAATACACGGGTTGATAAAAGCAGCACAAAACTGCCCGCACTGGAAGAGCTCGTCCGGAGCCCGCAGGAATAAATTATCCACGTCAAGCATCACCACCCTCTGGTATTGCGTCAAACTCCACGCGTAGATCTTGTTCAACGTGAACATAAAGCGCTTGTCGAATTCGTTTTGATCTCTATAAGGGTTCTGAATATCATTTACGACCACAACCTTGGCACCTTCCTCAATTCTGCAAATCAGACGAGTAAAATCTGACGTAAACAATCTAGCAGTAAGATGCAAGGCAATACGTGAAATTCAGGGTGGTGAAACCAAATAACAAGGAACTCCGGTTGAATTACAGATGTCCATATCTCAGACGTTACTTTACGTCATAATCAGCTTAAAATAGACTTAATACCCTCACTACACAGCGGCCAGCTGAATACCACTTTGATCTCTTGCACAGTCTATTGTCCACTTCGTTCTCCGACAATAATTGAAAATTTAACAGTCCAACCTCGACCTTGGGGTTAAAGGTTCGTGGTCCTACTTCAAAGCTGCGAGAACTCTACTTTGTGTTAGGGTTAAAGAAGGCTATTTAATATACTGCGAGACGTATCAATGAAGCATCTCCACAGAAAAAGATGACAAATACTTTCAAACTTGTAAAGCAAAGATGGACTATATCATTAGAAAAGGCACCCTGCCGCTTACAGAGTCTTCTGCCAATGTGGAGGTACGTTTGCCGAGGCGAGGACAACAACATCCGCATCAACTTGTAATCGCACCAGCGTCCCCAACATGACGCGAGCGGCTATATAAAATTCGTAATCGCGAGGTGTGCCCATGTACAACATTGTTGCGTAAGCATTGGCCTTCGGCGTTCCTTTCAAAGGCGCAAGAGCTGCCTCGGATGAGAACACCGCACCTGTCATGAGCATGAGAACCCATAACAGCGCCGCATACACGCTCATTACTACTCCACTCTGGCTCCAAAGTTTACAATAGATTACGACAGGCTCGCTCTCAAGTTCTTGTTCCAAAGTCTGGAGAGAATAGGACCCAGATTACTTGCAGGCGTTTAACTTGGCAGGCATCGAGAGATGACAGAAGGCTTCGAAGCCCTTGCAGTCAAAGGAATACGAAGGGGAAGGAGGGAGTCGAGCAACCACTGCGTCATTCTTCCCCTCCAGCCATGGCCCAATTTCCCACCAACATGAATCAGAACTGACTCCACCGAGTTCACAAACGTACAACCCTCGTAACTCTTTAAAAATCCCCAAGAAAATGCCGCCAATGCACGCAGCAGAACCGATCACTACCACTGGAACTCAAGGAGCGAGGTAATTTCCCCTCCCACGTCGATTCCCCACGATGAAAGCCCTTCAAACTCCCACAAAGACTGCAACGAACGTGCTACATTCACGAGCATGCGGTGAACCACCAACACTCAACGACGTGACCCGCGTGACATTAACTCCCCAACAAATCAAGCAAACGTCATCACTCAACTCCAATGGTCTCACACCACAAACACATGATCAGAATTCCAACTACAAACCACTGGACTCATGGCAGTTCCCAGCACTGGACTCCTGATCACAAAACCAGACAACCACAACCCCTCCACCTTCGAAACAAAGAACCTCAAATGCAAGAGGCACAATTCGGACACTTCACAGAGTTCCAACACAAGCCGACTCAATTACTGCAACCAGATTTCCTTTGAATCACATCGAACAGACACCCATCAACCCAGCGTCGGATTCACTTCACCAACAGAACCAATTAAATACGACAACGCACAACCCGATCCAACGAATAAGGCAACGTCCAGAAATTCGCTTCCTCTCGCGCTTCTCACTCTGCCCCCACTAAGACATTCATGGATCCTAGTCAGAACGCGCTCGATCGTCTCACTCTGCCCCCACTAAGACACTCATGGATCCTAGTCAGAACGTGAGTAAGGACGAGGAAGTGAAAATCGAGCTCTCATTGATGGGTCGAGTCTTAACCAGTAGCGTGTATGCTTTCAGTCAGAGGCACCAGCGAAGACCAGGACGCAACTTGCAACAGGCTGCGAGGGGGGGCGAGGGTGGAGTTTTGGCCGGCGTGAGAGAGCAGTCCCCGCCCAGAACGAGGTGATCTCACGCGGCAGCTTCGGAATCCATCCCTCCCCCGCCACTTTGTTGTAATTGTTGTTACTTCGCTGCTGATGCTGCAGCTGCTACTGCGTCAGGGGGCCACCGAATCAGTGCCGTCGACAACGGATTCTTCTGCGGTGCGGGAGAGGCCTCTACCGGTGTCGAAGACGAAAACGAAAGGTACCTTCCTATTGTATTTTATACCTAGTATATCCCATCCGTATTTTTCTGACCAATCTGCCCCTAAACAAAATGGGCTGCCCGTTTATAAATTTGTGAGGGGTGCCCGGTGGTGCCGTGCAGTTGTACTTTCAATAAAATTAAACTTATCGTCCTCGCCGTCGTCGCCGTCGGAGCTAACTGCGGACCCGACGGGCCCTCGGGTTCGTCCTTCTGCCCCGGGTGCCCATTTTTTTAGGGTTTCATGGCATGTCCCCTTTTGACTCCATTTCCCTTTTCTTTTTTTTTCTTTTTTTTTTTTTGGTAATCCTTCTCACTTGAGATTTTCTAGCCAACATGTTGGATTGGGTTGTTTGTTTTGGAGTCCAGTTTGTAAGTTCCAAAATCTGGACCCTTTAGTGTATTCAGTGTATCAGTGTGTGTCTGTATGTATGTGTGTATGTACACTCTCACTCGTGTACGTATTACTTTTAAGTAAAGTTTTGAATGTGTTCGTTGCCATTTTTATATAAAATAATAATAATAATAATAAATAATAATTTTGTTTGCTGCATGGTAAGTTTCGAGTGACTATGAAAAAATTTGTGAGTTGTAACTGTGCAATATCTTACTTGATGTTTCGAATTTAATTTACAAATATGTTCATTCTCCATGCACAAATCTAAACTATTCTAGAAACGTATATATATATATAGCTCTATTTTTTAACAAATCACTATTAGAAAGGGAAAAAAAAACGCTTAGTATTCTTAATAAACATGCTTCAATAAAATCATTACAGATCTGTTTGTGATTTTTCATACGTATGGGGTATCTATCAGTTGGTTACACTTGTTCAATAAAGTAAAATAACAGGAGAAAATTATAAAACTTCATGGAACTGAATTGATGTGTTATATATTTCCATTTGCAGAAAAAAATAGTTGTAGCATTTTATCACAATTGTGATACTTGACACTTGACACTTTTTTTTTTAGGGTCAACTACCTCTCCCGCTTGAGAAAAAGTAAAAAGTAAAAAAAAGTTGTACTCCCATGTTAGTTCATAAATGACATGTAAACATTTTTGAAAAAATATTTTTTGGGGGGCTTATTTTCTTTTATAGATGCAAAATATTGCAGCAAAACATGAAGAAAAGAAACCCACCGTTTAAAAAAATATAGAAAAAATTATCTACTCCTTTGAGCGTGACTAAGAATGGATCCACATTGGCAAAATGATAAAAGATAGGGATAAATTACATATAGATATAATTGAATACTTTAAGGGGCGGGGGCTCCAAAACCCCAACTGTCCCCACTTGTTAGAATGGTGGGGAACTTTTAGGGAACGCGTTCCCATCAACAAGGAATTAATGAGAACAGCTATGTTCCCCGGTCCTCCCGCTGGCGCCCCAAAGGAATATACTATTAGATGCTCACGGAATGTAGGTGAACTTTTCATCGCATGACCTTCATCCACTTCGATTGGATGATTTGTTGTACGAATAATAGAGGGTCATGGATGATTTATTCCATTCAGAAATCTCCTCCATTTTCACATTAAACATTGATAAATCCCGAGGCCATTTCATAATCTCCGAGGTTAACTTATTTTTTATACTAAAAAAAATCATAATCTGAAACATTCATTTAATTTCTCGTTGTAGGAATTAGTTCAATTATACCACACTCAAATATCATTGCGCATCACTTACTTAGTATGTATATACTTTGTATTGGGATTTTATTTAAAATATCAATGTGTAAGTTTTTATCCATGATTTCCTGGGGTTTAATTTCTGTGTGAAATAATATATGGAATTCTTGAATGCTTGAGATATTTTGAATCATTGTGAAAATTAAATTAATGCTATAAACATCTTACTCTCTAAACCTCTAAATACATTATTATAAATATTTTCAATTAATATAAATTAATATAAATATAAGAAGTGGTATATCCATTTTTTTTTTTTTTTTATGTATCTACTCCACAATTTTCATGTGCCCACTTCCTTCACTTCAACCCACATCAAGAAAAGTATTCTATCTTATTTCATTTCTTTCATTGCTAGTGTATTAACATGATTATTATTATTATTATTATTATTAGCAATGCTATTAATTAAACTTTACATGGAGTTATTCATTACTAAAAATAAATTTAGTTCCTATAAGTATCTTATGAGATTATATTATTTATTGAAATACTTCATTACATATCTATTTTATATAAGTGATTACATTACTTAAGTGGTAAAAACACCCTTTCTATAGTGCTTAAGGTTTACAACATTTTGGTCGAGAGGGACATGAAGACAAATACCTTGTGTCCTCAAAAGTTTAGAATGCCCAAAACAAAAATACTCAACATTGACACATAAATATATATATATATATATATTTATATATAAAACTATGGGTCATCAAAAAGGGCCATAAACAAGTGTCATGATCCTATATAGTGTGATCAACATTGAAAAGGACATAACTTCTACAAAATTATTACCACAATAGAATAAGTACAATAGTGACATTTAAGCAACAAGCAGGTGATGGAATTATATTTCTGCAAGTCAATTGAAGTAGTATTGAGAAATACAAGAGTCTTAAAAAAGGCCTCAAAATACTGGTATTCGACTTCTAAAGATTACAAAAAAACAACAAAAAAAGGGGCATTTTAATTTTAATTTTTTTCTTCTTCTTCAGTGCATTAAGATGACAGAGGAGAGGGATAATAAATATTAAATAAATATAAGGTGGAATTATCTAACTTTTTGCACTGTAAGATTGTTTCAAAAGATTTGAAGTCATGCAATTTGTGACTGGGTTCTGTCACATTTGAATATTTTGTCTTGCTAGTGGACCATTCTGATGCTTTTAGTTTATTCGAAGTCCCTCCCATTTCATAAAACCCCAGTAGAGGCAGTATTGGTGTGAGAGTGTCCCTTCTTTAAAACCATCATTTTGATGATGACTATGTAGTAATTGACCTAATTTTTTTTTTTGGGTTTAACTAGAAATTCAGGAAGAAAAAAAAAATCAAAAATCAAATTATGTGCATAAAAAAATAAATATAGATGGTGTTAGTGATGCTCTTTTGTGAATTCCTAATTATTAACTATAATTCATTGTACAGACACAACATATACATGTGTAGCCTTCCATACATGTTTATGTGCAATGTCTCAATTAATTAATTAATTGTTTTTAGAAAGTAATGGCAGAATTTTTTATTTTTGAAGAGTTTTCTTTTTATATTGCAATATTATTGAAAGGTTGGTTAAAAGGTTGAAGAAGTTTTGCGAGAAACTAAATTTGCTCCTGCAAAAACTTATTACATGTTGTATACACACACATGCACACACTTGCATACTAAAACAAAAAATTATGAAGTCCATTATGCTAATGACCTTAAAAAATAAATAAAAATAACAGTAACATGTTCAGAATTTGCATTTGAAAGCTGCTTTCATGGTCATATTCTCAAATGTTGAGAACATCTAATTTCACATATTTACAAATTATAGTTTAAAACCAAGATTGGAGTACCCCTATTGATTGGAATAGTGGAATGGGATTATACTTACAAAGGCATTGAAAGCAATGTGTATGTTTTTTAATGTTAATTTATAGTTAAACTTTGGATAACATAAGTATAATATAATTAATTTTTTTTTGGTATTTTATATGAACAATTGAAATATGAATGTTTTTCATTCAACATTGAATATTTGATGTTAGAGTGACACAATATCATTATAATTTTTTTAAATATAAAAACAATTAGTTTTGTTCAATTTTCATTAGTTTATAATTTTGGTTTGCGTTTTCTGGTAAATTTGAATTAAGAAAAAATTTCAAGAATTTGCAAACCTGTAATGCACATTCAAATTAAAATTTACATTTCAGAATAAATTTTATTGTAAGAATTTCGCTAATGATTTTTCGTTCAATCAATTGAAACCTTTAATTTTCTTTGTTCAATCAACAAACTTTAAGGATAAACTAAAACATTTAGTCAATCAGTGAAATTCAAGGGCAGATATTAATTTATGTGTGTGTATATATGGATATATATATATATATATATAAGTGTGAACTGTTTCAAATGTAGAGAGAATATCTTACACAAATAGAGTTGAACTTACTTGAACCTTTGTCAATGCTATACATTGTATTGGTTCTAAGTTTTTATTGCAATAACAATGTCTTAAGTTAGGATGAGTTTTTTTGTTCTGTTCTATTTTTTAAAATTTAAATATTTTATTGAAATAATTATACAATCTAAAATTTTAACACAATACAAACAATTTGTTCATCTATTTTATATTATTTAATACAGCATCACCTATAAATCACAGATATATTATTATTTATTCATTAAATATATATCACTTAAAAAAATTGTGAAAAATATTTTTGATATTTTTGGAAAAACATGTATTGGGATCAATGTACTAAATTATAAATAATTAAATAAGTATAAGAATAAAATTTTAAAAATAATAAAATGTATGTTTATATATATATATATAGTCTATTTGTTTTTTATCCAATCGATGATATCTAATGATGTCCATGTTGTTTGTTATCTAATTGATGATGTTCATCAACTTCCTAAATGTTTGCAGCATTCACATTTTTTTTTCTTTCTAAAATTAAATTATATTCAAATCCAACATCCCTTCCATTCCAATCTCCTTGTCCTCAATTCCACCATGTCTTTTGTCCTTGTTCCAACCCCCTTGTTTTTCATATCATATGTCTCTTTTCCAATGTCCATTGTCTGCGTCTCTTCTTTTTTACTCCTAGCCTTTGACTTTCATAATCTCTATTCTCACTAACAACTAATATATATATATATATATATATATAAAATTATATAAAATATTATTTAAAATATAGTACCAAAATACCTAAAAAATATAATTAATAGTCAAAGAAGTAGTAATATTAATAAGTGCAAATGCTATTTTTTTACAAAATAAACTTTTGTTAATTTTATAGCCTATAAATAAGACAAAATAAGGTAGAAAAGTAAAATTAATAATATAGATATCTTTAAATAGAATTAAGTAGCATATTTTATCAATAGTTATCTAAAATAATTAGATATAAATACTTAAGGAAGTTTGGTTATAAACATAAGTTGAAACTAGATGTTAAGGCATATAGCTGCGCTTTTAATGCAAATCTAGTATTCTTTGGTTGATTGGAGAACAAGGTTAGAGAGAAAAATTGCTAATATTTGGTTGAGCATTGATTTTGATTGATTTAATTTAATATTAAGTTTTTAAGAGCTTTTCAAAGTAAGAGGTGTTTTAAGTAGTTTGGATTTTTGAAGAATAAAAGAGAGTTTATATATTTATTTATTTATTTTGTATTTTAGCATAAAAACAAGAAGTAGCTTGTGTTTCTATTTTTCTTTGATTTTTTTTGTAAATTTGAATTTAATCTTACCATTAAATCAAATGTTATTAAAATCCAATTGAGTTAGGATCTTAAAATTTGGATTTTAAGAGTTAGTAAGGATTTCTTTGATCTTGAATAATCTATTGGTTGAATTGAAGAATTTATTTTATAAGAAAATTATGAACTTAGTTTTCAATAATTTTTTGACATTTGTGTACAAGTAAACAATTTAATAAGGGTTTATTGCCATTGGAAGATGAACATTAAAATTGGAAAAGAAGGACGGCCAATATCCAAGTAATTAAAAAGATTTTTCTTCCAATTAGTAAATTAGATATTTTTTAATTATGAAATTTTAAAAAAAATTAGATTATAATATTTAGAAAATTTTAAGTAAGATCAAAAATTTAATAAAAAATTATTGAGATTTTAAGACTACTATAAAATTGATTAGATTTTAATTAAGATTTTATTAGGAATTTTTAGAAATTTTGGAGGATTTATTAGTATTTGATTAAGATTTTTTTAGGTTTATTCAGATTTTTTAAAGATTTTATTAGGAATTTAATGATTTATTTAGAATTTAATTTTGATATTTTAAAAAATTACTTTGAAATTCTTTAGAATTTTTTTAGAATTTTTTTATAATTTCTTTTAGATTTAATTTTTTAAAAAATATTTGAGATTTTTTTTATGAATTTTTTAGATTTTTTAATATTTCTTTTAATATTCTTTATGATTTCTTTGATTATGTTTTTATAAACTATCTAATCAGCTTTTAAAGATTTCTAGAATTTGATTAAAATTTGATTATAATTGTTCAAAGGTTAGTTTTTACAAAATACAACATTGCTCTTAGTCTCCAAATTCCATCCCCACTCCTAGCCTTTAATCCCTCCAATCTCCATCTCCACTTCTATCACTTAATCTCTCCAACCTCCAATCTTGCTCCTTCTTCTAACTCCCTTGATTTTTGTCCATATTCCTCTAAAATTGGTGTTTTATTATATGTTGTCTTGCTTGATAATGCACCAATTATTTTTATATTTCCAATTTACTTTCCACAATCCTAATAATTCTAATAGAATAACATATAAATCACAATAAAAACCTTTAAAATCTTAATCAAACCTTAATAAATTCAAAAGAAAATTTAAAGAAATTAAAATAAAAAAATCATAAAAAAACTTTAAAAAAATAAAATTTTTTAAAAAAAATTCTAAAAAAATAAAAACCTTAATAAAATCCTAAGTAAATCCTAACCAAAATTATATAAAAATCTTAAAACTCCAAAAACTATTAATCAAACTATTGATCTTTACTAAATTTTTTCACATATTTTAATCTTTAAGCAAACACCAAATACACAAAGTTTGAGATAAATTAAATTTATTAGTTAAAAAAAATAAGCTCTTAATTTTTTTAGATGTTGGTCACTCTATTAATGACATGAATCTTGAAGAAAGAAAACTCAATATATTCTTGTGTCACTCAAAAAGATTAGAAAGTCACTCAAAGATGGTAATATATTGAACTAAAATGGCTATTGCCAAAGACAAGAAGACTAAAAAGTCTTGAAACAAGACAAAGGACTAAAAAGATATTGACAAGAATGAAGAAGACTTCACTCTTATCTCCATATATACTATCTAACTAAGAACAATGTGGCAATATTCTATAGGACTTCCAACACATGTTGACTTTGTAAGATACATATCTTAACTTTGAAAGTAAGTTTTCTATATGTGTACCACATATTTAGCTTATTCTACAAGCTACCAGCATATGTGATACATGGTTAACTTGTTGATCAAGTTTCTAACCTATCAATCAACTACAACCACATTTAAAGTCAAAACCATGTCTTTGAAGCTTCTAGAAAGCTTTTCTAAAAGATGTTATGAAATTAATCTACTTTTACTTACTTCTATCTATTCATATAGGTAATTATTAGAATAAATATGTATGTCCGTGATACATTGTCTTGCTCTAACCTTCATATTAATCTTCTAGCAATAATTTTTCTTTGTTAAATCTTTCAATTTTTTAAAAATAAGAATTAATATAGAAATCCAAGCTTATTATACTATCACAAAATTTTACTTTAATTAGATAGAAAAATTGCTCATGAACATAGAAAAATTCATTGATCCTAAAAATTAAATATTTGAGATCCTAATCTAATCAAATTTCAAATCCTTCAATCTAATTATTTGAGTGGTCTTAAAATTATAGAACACATTTAAGACAAGCACATTTACAAAATTTCACTTATTTTTCTACTATAATATTTACAAAATTTTTAAATCTTTAAACCTCTTTTTATTTCTTAAAATCCAAAATCCTTGAAAACATTTCTAACTTTGAAAAGCTCCTTAAGATATAAAATTGCTCCAAATCACTTGAAACCAATACTAAAAATAATTTCTTTAAAATCTCCTCAATCTTCTTATTTTACTCTTCAATCAGCAAAAGAACCTCAACATTGCTGTAGGTGTATAATTTTGTGCTTCAAGGTCTAATTTTGATCTTGGTTCACAACCGGTCCTCTTTGGGTATCAATTCTTGATTTTTTAAGAAAAATTTTACTACCAACTACTTTTAACTCTTTCCTAAAGATGCTTATATTATTTTTTTTTTTCTTATTTATGGCCATATAAGATATGGATAGATTGCTAAGTCAATCAATAAGGAACATTTTTACTTTAATATTTAAATACATTTATAATACCAAACATATTAAATCATGTATTTGAAATATTTTTGATAATGATTAGATTTTTTTTTTTTTTTTTTTTTCACCAATCATCATGAAAGTTAACAAGCTTTCAAACACATTACAATAAATAATTATTTTAAAATTAAATAAAATAAACCACCAAAAAAACTTGTCAGGGAAACAATGAAATAAAAAATGCAGAAATGGAAAACCTAACCTAATTCGTATCACTAAATCGTCAACCAAAAATAAAAAATAAAAAAAAAATAGTTGAAACAGTTTTCATTCTGATTGTTCAAAAAAGCAGTCAGAATCAGATTACAAACATCCATCCAAACCGGATGCGGGCCAACAATCCGTCCATCCACACAATCATCCAAAACAACACATCTATCCATAACCGATTGAATAATCCATATACATTCGACAGGAACATCCATCCTCTTATACATCCATGATCGAATTATTCATTCATCCATAAATTTGACCACCGGCTTCGGTCAAAGTGTGGAGCAACGCTGCACGCAGCGAAGTCGGCGGCAGCCGCAGCTGCGGCGCAAAAGCTTGCGGGGCCCCCGGAATTCGGACGACGCGGTGACCGACTGAAGACGTTTGATACCACGAGCGTCAGCGTGATCCTCCTCTGTCCAATGACAATGCTTCTCCCGTACCGACTAACTTACTAGAAGATGAAGAAGAAGAACACACAACGACGAGATCCTGCGCATCTACATTGCCCACTTGCAGTCACGGCTCCACCGATTAAGTGCCCAGTCGGAGCCCTGAATGCGAGGTGCTCAGTCCCTACCTGCACGACTCTCCGACACTCTCTCCTAATGTGTTTTATTCTGCTGCTGATGCAGCTGGGTGCGTAGTCCCAGCCCCACTGTCAGAGCCACTAGATCGAACGGGGCTTTGCAGTCAACGAGTTGCGTCTACAGTGCGCACCTTAGCGGTGGAATGGAACCGCGCTCGTTCAGAAAAGCGTAGCTCAGTCGGGCTTGCAGGTGACCAGTGACGATTTGTTTGCTGTGTCTCGAGCGCGGCATCTTGACTGGTGGCTACTGACGTGAGATCTCCTGCCCATTCTGCATGATTTTTCTCCCCTTACCGCATGCGGTTCAGTACGTGATTTCCTGATCCCTTGGCGTGGATTCTATGCTCGAGCATCGTGTTCAGGAATCGTCTGTATTGTAGATTTCCTGGGAGAAAAATGAGATTTGTTGCCTGTTGCTGAGAACTTACGGAACTTGTTACTGTGAATATGGCAGACGCAATGGCGGCGTTGATCAGTAATCGGTCGAGATGATGCATGTCTAACGTGGTTGAGGTAGGGATGGGCAAAGATGTCGCCACATGAAACTTCAAACTTTCGAGTAAGGATCCGTTTCAACCTCGTTAATCCTGGTTCTCATCCCATAACAAGGGCCACCTGCTCCCTTTCCATTTCCAGAGCCTATACAGCCTATAGCAGCAAGATCGAGCAGTGGTTATAGAACAAAGTGACTAAAGCATCAAACTCCATAAATTTCTGGAATGCGAGATCATAAAATTACATGAGCACTGCATGAAAGTTCTTTCGTGATGTCATTAAAGAGGCACCAAAAGTCGAGGTTGGAGGAAGAAATCGTAATAGACAACCATTGTTCCAAGAAACTGTATAAGCTGCAGCCAGTAGATTAGCTTTCTGCTTCATCGTAATCCAAATTCTAACCACGAAGAGGAGGAGGGTCAGCTATTGAAGCCATCCAGTATCTCTGTGCGCAGAATTTGTATGCGGAGAACATACTGTCAAGCCGGCGCGGACATACATTGACTCTGAAAGTGGGTGGTCGACATCTGGTGTCGTGATCAAGCAGGCCAGCCGTCCAGTAATCTCTGGCACCCTTGCAGTTGTGGTGCAACCGAGAAAATATGGAATCAGGTGCATTGTTCATTTGCTGCAACCCTTTCACATGATATGCAGACAAATTCATTCAAGTAGCTCAATAGCTTCACAAGATCTCAGGCATCACTCTGGAAACCTGTCTCGATTTTTAGAGGTGGGATTCGAAAGCATGGATTCCTTTGCAATTGCATGCTTCATTTTACCGTGGTTTGTCAATCATGTGCCCTGAGAAGGTCTGTAAAGGATTCAACGTGGACGGTAGCACCTGTCAACAAAAAGACCAGTGCCCAACGAGACAGTTAATTATCTTATCACGGATTGGTGGGGGTTAATGGAGATTCTGAAAAGAACTTGGGTTGAGATCCAGCAGAATTAAGATACGGGACGAATCTTATTCACTTCAGTAACATTTTTTGATTAAATCTACCGCAGTTGGCAACTATGGTGCATGGTTTTACAGTAGTTCTGAGTTGAGGAACTTCTCAACTTAGTGGAACCACAACTTAGAATCCCCGCGGATCAATAGCTGTTGCATTAGCATTGTATCTGTAAACATCACAACGTCGGACTCTTCAACAGTTATAAAAATACGTTGGACTTGCAACAGGATGTTGGTCAACTTCTCTCCCTTCATCACAACTTCTCTAGTTACATTGTTAAGTACTGACATGTACCCGAGAAATTAACATGAAGCTGAGCTGGGTCATTGTTAGCAACACTGGAGGTGGACATGCTCAGCTGGCCTTCTAGAGCCACCTGATTGACGTCGCCAGAATTTTGACACCCTGGACTATCACCTCTTGCTTCTCCCAGCGACTGATGTGCCTACACCCAATTAGATCACTTGTTTATCAGAATTTGAAGATTGCTATGGGTGAGACAAATTTTAATTAAGATAGTGATACAATTGTCAGTGATCGGGGACTTGTGAGGGCCTTGTCGCCCAGAAATCAGAGGGGTACCAAAGACCATCTCCTCGACATCCTTGCATCTCCAGATCTGGGTGGATTGAATAACATTCCCCCTCATGACTAGCAATATATGTAATTAAGCAGACCACAAAAAAATCGATGAAGTATAGTACCAAAAAAAATTCCTGTGAGTGTGTGAAACACACTCCCCTCCCTCTGATTTTTATTCTAGAGCTTGACCTCAGAACTTCTTGGTTGAGTAGTTTAGAGTCCTGAAATTGGCGTGGCATCCAGCCCTCGTCACCCACATGCCTCCAAAGAATTATGTATACAAATTGTTGAATTTGATCCTCATTGAAGGTCATTTTGAGTTGTAAAATATATGAGTTTAAGAGTGCTATAATTTAAATGGCTTTTAATAGCTATTGACAATCAACATAATATCTAACAATTTGAAGTTTAGTGTTCAACAAATTAAAATTCTAGCACTTTAAAAAAAAGTATTATATGGATTAAAATATGAATTGAAAATTATATATATATATATATATATATATATATAATCACAATATAAAATACATAATTTTCTAAAGATACAAAAGACATACAAGGTGTGTTTAGTATTATTTCTAACTTTATGTAAAATATCATTATTACATTACAAATAGATTCACACAAATGTACTTAATCTTTGCTACATCATTATATTAAACTATAATTTTTCTTTCACATTTTAATTTATAAACAACAAGAGATGATAGAGTAGACAGATGCATGGAAAAAAATTGTTTAGAAAAGAGAGCATCAAATAATAAATGTTCAATAAATAAAGATGTTGCTGTCTCTAAAAAAAATAAATTGACAACAATTAATTATTGGGTTACAGGTAATTTTTTTATTCTATATAATAAATATATATTGTATTATATTTTTTAATGTAAATTTAGTATTGATGTATGATATCATATAGTAACATTTCAAAAATACGTATTTATATAGAGTAGTAATAATAATAATAATGATTTTCATGTTATTTAATTAGTATAAAGGCTTTTATAAATTTTCTATATAGGTTTTATTGCATAAAAAATAACAATAACAAAAATTGACAACATATATAACAAGCCTAAGTCAATATTCAATTAGCTATATCATTATTTTAGATTTTTAAGTTTTCAAAAAAATATATCTTCTCAAAAAATTGATTTTAATTTTTTGTATGTGAATTCGAATTATTATAATAAAAATTTAAAAATACAAAATATTATAATAATTTGAATTCACATACAAAAAATTAAAAGAAGTTTTTATAGCTATCATCTAATAATACATAAGAATTGTATATAATATCAAATAGAGATACAATAAATTTATTGATGGACAATAAAGACTACATTAAAGATTATATAAAAATGGGTTTTTAATTATGTGCTTTAATTTATAACAAATGAAATATTAATCAAAAAGCTATCTAATATGTTCAGGTGCAAGCTAATAATCAAATACATACAAAAATCATCTTGTTCATAATTGCTTAAATTTCCATCTTTTTATTAATAAAGCCAAGCCTAGCTTCTATAAATTTCAAATAACATCATTTTTTTTTCTCAAATATATTTTATATTATTGAAAATTTAAAAATAATTAAAATTAAAACAAATTCTTGTCTTACAAAACATTAAAAACCGTCTATATAATAATTTGGTAAAATTATATTAGTACATATATATAAATATATATGTATATATATATATATATATATATATATCCTAATTAAATTAAAATATTTTATTTTTATAATTATACCAATTATGCTAATTATATTAGTATAAATATAAATATATAACTTTAAATTTGATTTATTATTTCATTTTTCTAGATTTTTGTGTTTAAAATATATATATATATATATATATATATATATATTTTTCTAAGAGATCTAAAAGAATAAGGTATAATTGAGCATTATATCTTATATACTATACTCCAAGTTATATTCAATTCTTATCTACATTAATACAATTTCTTGTACTTATTCTATCAATTTTTTCTTTAATATAAAGTAAAACTTATATTTATTGTAGCACATAGGTAGAAATTAGAAATAGATTCTTTAGAATTAATAAATGCAAAGTTTTTAAATCTTTGTAATACTTCAAACAAAAGAAAATATAGATACATATTATTATAAAAGCAATCTATATAAAATCTGAATATTGATGTAACTAAAAAAAACATTTTAAAAAACATTCTCAACTTTTATGCCTATTTATAGTATTATTTTGAACTATATAATAAATACCTTTATAATTTTAATAACTTAAAAACATGTCATTTTTTTAATTTAGTATTACTGATAGAATTTGTTTTATAAAATATATAAAACTATCACACGTGAAATATGTAGAAAATATACTAAATTATAGTTGTATAAATGTAGGTAAATCTATTGATAATGGGATGCCTCTATGATGTAGAAGCTAAAAACAGTATTTGATTATTACTTTTAATTTTGACATTGTAAAATTCTTTTGGACCTTGTTGTAATACTTATTTTGAATAATAATAAAAAATGATTTACAATTCTGGCATAGTATAAATAAATAAATAAATAAAACAATTACCTATACCAAGTTTTATTTAATAGATAGATATATAACATTTAATAGAAGTGTTTGTAAAATAAATATTAATTTCAAGAGTAATCATTATTTGGTAGATAGAAAATTATATTAAAAAAGTATAGGCAAAGATTGACAATCAATACAATAATCTTTGTTTGGAAGAATCTATGATTAAGGAGATAAAAATATTTTTAAAAATATCCTTTAAAATATTTGTTAAATTATTTTTTAAAATAAAACCATGATTGTATTCATCTTATTATAAATATATTCAAATACAATAAAACCTGAATTAAAAATAATTTATTTGTAGAACTTAAATTGGAAGCAATAACAACATCAACTAATAGACTTGAATTCTTTTAACAATGCTTGCAAATATGGTACAACAATAGGCTATCATTATGCAAAAACAACCTTTTATCAAAATAAAAATTTAAATTTTACATAAAAAGGAATAAAAAAATAAAAAAAGACATTTCGTTTTTTAACCATGTGAGTGTTAAAGAAATAAACATATGATTGTATAAAACATAAGAATTTACCTTAGAATTTAGATTCTTATTATATAGAAAATATAATTGGCATTTAAAATAATCTCACTTAATATTTTAATATCATATTATTTCTCCATATTTTTTTTGCCAATTAATTATGATTATGATCTCATCACAATTATTACATTTTTAAATAATAGTCTTCATGCTATTTCATCTCAAGATTTGTCATTTTTAAAACTAATAATAGACCAAGCCTTTAATGCAATTGGAGTAGTAGCTATAATAATATTTGCCTTTAATATTGATATTTTTTTAGAATTGCAAGTATGTCATAAGTATAAATATAATTTATATAATATTTTTTATCTTATACTAAATATATTATGAGTTTAGTAATAACATCAAATAAGATTACAAATATTTTTATTTAAATCATGCAAGCCACTTGGTTGCAATGGTGTATGCATTGTTGTAACACAAAATATTAGAGCAACAATCACATTCTTGAATTTGCTTTCAATATTGGAAGCTAAATTTACACATAAAAAATAATATTAATGTATATTGGCACATTTGTGCTTAATATATTCAAATGTTGTTTTAATATGCATTTAAACTTTATAAAGAAATAGATTAATTTCAAGTCTTATAAGAAGATGTTATATTGAAATTGTGATTTAAAAAATATATCAAAAATAAAAAAAAAAACCAACAAACAAACAAATAGACAAAACTATTATTGCTACAATTAATTCTTAGATTCTAACATTTTACTTTATTTGTATGGCCAAGATAATTTTGTTATGAAAATAGTTAAAATAATAAAATGAATAGTTAGAATAATTCAATGAATAGTTAAAAAAAGTCAATAAGATTAAAGAATAAATTAAAATTGGATTGATTATACTTCCATAGAAGGCCTAGTAATGAGGATAGCATGCAGCTTGTATACAAAACAACTTATACTTGGACAGAGATTATATTAAAGAAGTGCAACTACACTTATACATTGAAAAGAATAGTAGAGAACTAAACACCTTGGAATAACAAGTACATGTTTATGAAGATTATGGACAATTGGATAGCAAAAACAAATATCTACAATCACATACCAAATAAGACAAATAAAAAATTGGAAACAAACTACACATTTAGAGACTATGTGAGTACAAACCAATATACTAACACAACATACAAGATTAATAATGAGGATTATTAAATAGATCCAAGCTATTACTAAATCAACCCACCTGTTCTAACCATCATGAAAATAAAAATGACCTCTACATTTATTTTTCTACTATTAGATTTGCAACCAATAAAAACCAACAATATTTATTATGATTACCATATTCTTCATTATAGGTAAGTTAATTATTTCTTATTTATGCTAGAAGAAGAAAACTTTAAGACACAACATATATAAAACCTATGACTTTTCAGCTCATATTCCATGCTCTAAAACAATACCCTCCAAAAATTATGCTCACCTTTCTTTTGTTCCAATAAAAAGTTGTGTTTTTTTTTACAGACTTGTGTCTTGTCTCGCTCTCTCTCTCTCTCTTCATTCTCCCAACAAATTTCTCCCAACCATTCTCGCGCCTCGTCAGCCCTATCTCTTCTGCAATCGTAAAGGACATTCAACTACCAAGACAATTCACACATGTTAGGCATTTTTTGGGCTTAGAATTTGCTACCACAACAAATAATATACTTCCGCGGCTCCTCGTGAAGGTTCGGATTCGTTCGCACCCGTGGGATCTCGATGACCGGATGTTGTGCACTTTGGGAACGTGTTCCCCATGAACGAGGAAACCCTAACCCTGTGTTCGGAGCAGCGTTAAGACGAGCGTGGTGCGAATGTTGTGTTGCAGATCGGATCAACATGATGCGAATGGCTCGCGCTCTGCCAGAGCTATGGCGCTACAATCTGCCGGCGTCGATGTGCCGGCGCGCGCCGTTGTGCAAGATGCCTCTGACTCAAGAGGAGCCGCTTCCAGGTATGGTGGTCTTGTCCCTCTTCGGGCGAGTATTCGAGGTTTTGAGTTCTCACCTTGTGTTGGTTGATGTTGAGCTGTAGTTTGTTGGTGACTAATTAGCCGGTCGCATGATAGCGGTGTCGATAGTGTGGCGTGAGTCACCGTTTGACCCGCAGGTTTACATGTCTACGGTCAGTATGATCACCTATATTCTGTGTTGTGTGCTTCATGATCCCAACTCCGATTTACACGATTTTGGTTCGAATTGCACATCTACATTGTCCTTTTCCTGATCAGCTTATTTTGCGATATTTGTGAATATTACCGTGTCTGAACTGAAAACTTGAATATAACTGTTTGGTAACGTGTGTGTTCATTCTGTTTTCGTATTTCTTGAACCTTTGTACAGAGGTTCAACAGTTGGTGGTTACAGCGTCAGGGCCTGACAGGCCAGGCATCGTGGCTAGGTTGAGTAAGCGGGTGCTGGATTGCGGTGGCAATGTAGAAGTCAGTAGGATGGCAAGACTGGCTGGCGAGTTCTCAATTTTAATGCTCGTTACTTTTGACATTACGTAAGTACATCCCCTTATTTTAATCTTCAAAGCATAACCTATTTGTAACGATCTTAATTTCATCTTATTTTCTTTTATTGTAATACAATCTTGATTTCTTAGGTAACTTAAGTCTTGGTAACTTAAGTCGATGGAGATTTTGTGTGCAGTCTCTACGGGGCCTTTAGAGTTGAAATTGTTGTCGTTGCTTTGAATGCAGTGCTCATCTCTTAAGTTGAAAGAACTTTACCCAGTGAAGTTATTTTAGGTCTACAGTCTAGTAAATAGAATGGTCTCAAAGAAATGATTTGTACAGAACGGCACGGAAAGCCGAGCAGTTGCGCAACTCTCTTCTGCAGATCGAAGGACTCCAGGTCTGGTTTGCTACCAGAGTAGCTCTTGTAGCGAGTGTTGCAGAGATGTGTCTGCAGCCAGTTCAACTTGTGATGCTTTAAATGTCCAGTCAACCGTGCCAAGAGTTCATTTCTTCAATGACTCCCGGCGGCTTTTAATTCTTCTTCATTCCCATCATCCTTTTCAGGTCAATACGAGGTGGACTGCTAACGACAGTTTAAGTAAAGCACGACCTCAACACAAGTTTCGTAAGATATTGTTACGCGGGGTTGATAATCCTGGTACGCCGGTTCACTCCTTTTTCACTTTGTTAGTATTAACCTCTTTGGACCACAACTCAAGTTCTATTGAATGATGAACATCCGGTGACAAATTAGCCGATCGCGTGGTAGTGACGTCTTCGGAGCCGAATATCTCTGTTCGACTAGCTAATCCACACGTGATCGGTCAGTATGATCACCAAAATTGAATAGTGAACTTCGCAATCTTAACTTGAATTACTCGAGTTTTAGCACGAGGCATTTTCTTACAGCGTCCTTTTTTGTGACATGCACGTAGTATGTTTTTTATTTTTTATTTTTTATTTTTTATTTATTTTGATCCCTGTTCTACAACGCATATCTAGCTATTTGAAATTAGATTTTGAACGCGTAATTGTGGTGACAAATTAGCCGGTCGCCTGACCATTGTCAACAGAGACAAAAGTCTTTGTTAGATTCTGGAATTCACATGTGAAGCGGTCAGTATGATCACCTACATCCAACGGCATGCGCTTCTAATCCTCACCTTGATTTGATTCATGGTCAGGTAGAAGCGGTGTCTATATTGCAATACTTCCGTCTTTATCCGACTCCATGGGTTTTTGCGCCTCAGTATAGCCGGTTTTACATAGCGCCTATTTCAGTAATACCCTACCTGTGTGATGACTTGCTACTGCAATGTGATGCAGGTCTTGTATATAACCTAACTGAGTACCTGTCATCCCACGGGATCAATATCGAGAGCCTTGAAACCTACACTCAGGAGGTTAGTGTCTTGTTCCTTCGATCTTCTTGCGTGATGGTTTTGGTGTTCCTTTTTTAAGTTGTTTGCTAGGTATTAAGACTACTTCCGAAGTGGACGCAGGTATCGCCAGGAAGTCCACCGCTTTTCATGATGGAGGGGGTAATCGCAATGCCCGTGGGATTGTCGACTGCTACGTTTATCCACAACCTGGACACTTTGCAAGCCACATTAGGCGCAGAAATCAGCATAACAGAATTGCTTAATCCTGTTCGGAAGCTCGCTCCGTCTTCTCTTGAAGAATCAAGTTGAGTAGAGTTTTCTGAGGAACTTGTGTAGTGATCAAATTTCTGTTTTCTTCTCAGTAGCGCAGATACAGTCTTAGCAATTTCGAATATTGATACTTAACGAAGATATGTGTACCGTGTACCTTCAACTTCTTCGTTGAAAGTGATTGTAATTATGCCATCTTCAATATCACGGTTTGAGATTCATTTTGGAGCTATTCATATGTTAACTGTTACATCTGGTGATACGTTTCTAAGCTTCACTTGCTCATTACTATTGTTTAGAATTGGGATGTCTCCTCTCTTGTACTGCAGCTTTGTGATCGTTACGACGTGTCGACCCTTTTTCTCTGTTGCGGCTGGGTAGGGTTTAATACACCCCACCAAATCATCTGGAAAATTTGTCTGATATAGCCGAACCACAGTGCCGTGTATTCAGCGCACTCTTTCCGCATCCTACTCTGTGCACGGCAGGAGGTAGTATTTAGACGCAAGGAAAATGAAACGTTATGTATATTAATCGTGCACATTTCAAATCTAACAAGCCCTGAATTCATTTTGGATTTCTCTCAATCACTGGTTGGGTTACATTTAAACCATCAGCTACAAAACATGTATACCGAGCACCAAAGCTTTTAAGGAACAAGGACAGCGAACTTCAGTTTGCGGTATGGTATTAATGAAACCTCTCTCGTTTCATGATGGTAAACTAGCACAACTCATTACTGCTCCGCCTTGTTTATGAGGTACTTTAGATTGCCTATTTGCTGAAGTACCTCGTCATGTTAAGAATCCTTCATTCAAACTGATTTAATCAATGTTTCAACTATAACTGATAACAACTAGATCTTTGTAAATGTCTTCTTATTATTATTTTCAATTTTCTAAACTTGCATATTTTCAATCATCAATCCCAACTGAAATTTGTAATTGTTTTTTTTCACAAAAATGTTGTACCTCTTTGTACCACAATTTATTTTTCAAGTGATAATGTTAACTCTCTACATTGTGAAATGTTAGTGGCAAAGCGAATTAACATGATTCAAATAGCAGATTTAGTTCAAGTGTCCTTTTACTGGACACTGCTGATTTTACATGATTACACATCATATTAAAAAAAATGCTGATTTTTGTTCCATTGTTAAGTTTGATAATCCAATGCCCAGTTCTACGCAGACCTTCGCGCGCGGTTCACACCGCCCTCACGATAAGGGCTGCGAGCAGGACAATCGCGCTCTGGTTCCACGAGTACTTGCGGATAAACCCTGAGGATTCGATTAGGTGGGTTGTCTTCGAAGTATCACAATTCGGAAACCCACTTGATAGTTTAGATGGAATCATTTTGGGTACGAGTGTGCTAATTGTTCCGACGTCCACTTCTCCTGAATCTGAGTTGATTGCTCGGTGAGCGGTGCACCGAATTGTTGAAATCACCCTAAGGTTTATCCATTTTGAGGTTTCGATTTTTGTCAAGGGATGGCGCCCTTCATGCTTGTGCGTCGCTCGCCGATTCTCTTGCCGCTGATTCCTTCAGTGCTTAAGTTGTGGCAAATCTGCTCAGCTTCCCCTGTATCAAGCCACTCGTTTCGGGTCCTTTCTGGGTGAGTGCCTCACTGTTTGATTGGTGTGTATGATGTCATGGTTTTCTTCACGTTCGTCCTTGCACTTTCACGAGGTAGGGTCAAATTTCGTTAGTCTTGATTGTTTGTGCGATATAATTGGGTTTTGTAGTATTGTAAAGGAGGTGGTTGCTCCAGAAATCTCCTTTTGAGAGCAGACGTATGTTGCCCAACGTCTGCTTGTTGGGATTGTGCTGTGACATTGCTGGGCGATATATTCAGCAGTTTTGAGTAGTTAAAATGAGAGGTCTCTTGAACACCCCGGGTTGAGAAATTAGTCGGTGGAGAAATTAGTTGTCCTTTCACAATGTATTTGGGTACCTCTTGTTAAATGAACAAGGGTGTAATTGTCCGTGTTGGGCCATCGACTTGATGCAACTGTTATTTTGGCTGCTGGCTGTACCCAGATTGATTGTACGTGTTCCAAGGAAATTCCCCGAGGTGAATCAACGGTCGCCTCGTTTTCTTCGCACAACTGCGGCAGTTTTTGACAAGGACCAATTATCTGGTACACCATTTTCCGCTAGCATCTATGAGACGGGATTTCCGACGATGGTTTATGCCTTAATACAACAGTTCATTACCAATAGTGATTTTGATTTTAAATACTGGTTACTTCACCTCGTTCTCACTAATGGCCGTGCATACCTGGAACATTATGACAATCTTATTATTTGTCAGCTGAGTTGAGTCCAATGTGATGTTTTTTCAGCTGGAGCAGCTGTATATACCAAGGATGTAAGGCTTAGTAATGAAAATCAAGGTTCTGATGAGGAAGAGCGGCAAACTATATCAGACAATGATACGATAGCAGCTATTGTCACTGCTATGGGAGGACAGCAGGGAGCTGTTGCAATCGTTCGTTTGTCTGGAAACTCAGCCGTTAAGATTGTCGGTCGCTTGTTTCGGACAGCTAAAACTATGAGGAACAAGGAAAACTCTCACCTTAATAATGAGTGGAATCCAAAGAGCCATCGAGTGCAGTATGGCAATCTGATAGACGCTTCTGGAACGCTAGTGGATGAGGTATGCAAACTCGTAGAGCTATTCCCGAAACCAGTATGTGGACGAGATTTTTGTTTCTGAAATGGAAGTTGTATTTTTGTATTGACCATTAGGTTCAGATAGTTTATTTATGTATATTTACACCTGATTTGGTGATGATCCTTCCAAAATAACTGGTTGTTTCTATACAGGTTTTGGTGTTGCCGATGCTGGCACCAAGATCGTACACCAGGGAGGATGTTGTAGAGTTGCAGTGTCATGGAGGGGACGTGTGCGTCCGCCGTGTGCTGCAGCTATGCTTGGAGGCTGGTGCAAGACTGGCACAGCCTGGTATGTCTTGTTACATTTTGTATGTATCTCCTCACATTTCATCTGCCTGATTGTCTGTTTCAAGATCATAACATGCATCGTGAATAGTTTTCCTGCATTCTCATTAAGTTATTAGTGTACCTGCAGGAGAGTTCACTTTGCGGGCATTCTTGAATGGTCGTCTGGACCTTGCACAAGCAGAAAGTGTCGCACAACTAGTGGCCGCCAAAACCTCCGTTGCAGCTCAATCTGCCCTTGCTGGTATTCAGGTAATGAATTTTGACTGCCTTACGGCGTTGAATCGGGGTCTCCCATTTGCTTGGCATTTCCTCTTTACTCTGGACTTCATTGGAGGGAAATAGCATATTTTTTAATATGAGAATATTTAATGTTGGTATGTCCTGTACGCAGGGAGGCCTCTCAGCCTTTGTGCAATCTCTACGTATGGAGTGCATTGACTTGCTGGTTGAGATGGAGGCTCGTTTGGACTTCGATGACGAGATGCCTAATCTAGACATAAACGCCCTAATAACAAGGATAGAAACTATGTGTCAGCGCTTACAACAAGCATTAGCTACTGCTGGTCGAGGTCGTTTGCTGCAGTCTGGATTGCAGGTGCAATTTCAATTCACCTACGTGTCACTTCATGTGATTGTGCGGATATTCAAGCCATTCCTTTTCTTGCCGGTGCTCGATAATATACAGTTTTTAGATCTTAAACCATGGCTTTCCTTCACACTAAGAAGGGTATGGGAGTTTCAAATCGGTTCCTCGCATATTAAGCAACTAATTTGATTGTTCTTCCAGGTTGCTATTGTTGGAAGACCTAATGTTGGCAAGTCAAGTCTTCTGAATGCCTGGAGCCAAGTAGGTGAGACCACAGGCTCGGCTTGTGTTTAATTATTTTGTTGCACCGGAAAATTTATAAAAAGCACGAAATTATTTTTACACCACCAGTTTTGTTTTGTAGAATATCATTTTTATTTTTATTTTTTAATCTTTTTTCCCTTCTTCTTATCCTTCTTTTCTATTCTTGTTTTGGGGGAATGCGTGAAGTTTTGCTGGCGTGATTTATGGGTTGTTGTTAGAATTAGCCATTGTTGACAATCTCCTTGATGATTAGCTAATTTTTGTTCAGTCAAACTTGTACAGCAGTCCATCTAAAACGTGTGAACCTGTTTGCAGAGTGAAAGGGCAATAGTTACGGATATTCCTGGAACAACGCGGGATATTGTGGAAGCTCGGATGGTTGTGGGGGGGATTGCTGTAAATTTGCTGGACACAGCTGGCATTCGCGATACTGCTGACTTAGTAGAGAAAATTGGTATGTGAAACTTATGGCCTTTTCCTTTATTCGAGTTTATGCCTGTTGTTTTTCGAGGTTGACTTGTCTGCGATGCACTGGTTATATTTTCATGTGGTCTTTTGTTGTATCTGATTTTACATTTGGAAGGTAGTCCTTGACTGGGCTCTGCTTCTCGAGATGCTGCGATTGTGGGCATTCTCTAAATCGTACTTTCCATCAAGTAAATGAATTAATGATTCTCGCTTATTTCAAATGATTTTCATATTGCAGGAGTAGAGAGGTCAGAAGCGGTGGCAAAAGCTGCGGATGTCATTGTCATGGTTATAAGTGCCAGTGATGGGTGGACACCGGCAGATGAAATAATTTTCCAACGCATCTGGGGCACAGACGGAATACTTCGACAAAGAAAGGAGCAAACTGGTGGTGTACTAGCGGGACCTATGGCCCCTCCTTCACAACTTGCAACTGTTGTCGATGTATGTGGAGTGGGTCTATCCTTTAATATAGTATTCTCCCTTTCTCAACATTGCAGGATTATCCTACAACTAAATCTGTGCGAACGAGTGAAATTTATCCCTATCTCGGTTGGGATTGTGCAGGAATGTGAAGATCAGCCGGGGTCTGGAAGTGTACAGACCCCTTCACTTCTGGTGGTTAACAAGGTGGATAGAGCTGCAGCTGGGTCAGTGATCTTGCCTCAAGAGGTTCAGAATGCATTTTTCAAAAGGGTGGCAACTTGTGCAACTCAAGGTGTTGGTTTACAAGAACTGGATTTTGCAATCCTAGACCTTGTTGGCCTGGGTCATGTATCGAGTGAGGGTCAGCAATGGGCTGTGAATCAGGCAAGCACATGTTTGGAATTATGTGAAGTTTAATGACGTGCTATTGTTTTGTGGCATATGGATGTAGTGATGTCTCTCTGAGTGTGTTGAAAAATGCAGTGAGTAAAATCTGTGCCCTACCGTACATGTTTAGAGTACATCATGGGAATTTATTATTAACTTAATGTCTTTGCTCCCCTAGAGACAAGCCGAGCAGCTTGTGAGAGCACAGGAAGCACTTCGAAGAGTGGTGGAGTCTGTGCAACTGGATATCCCGCTTGACATGTGGACCATAGATCTTAAAGAGGCTGCTATTGCACTAGGTGAAATCAGTGGGGATGATGTTTCTGAAGAAGTTTTGACAAATATTTTCAATCGTTTTTGTATTGGGAAATGATAACATGGTTCAGAACCAAAAGTTTCATTGAATCTCATAATTTCCTGTAAGTATTCATATAATCTTGATTTCATCACATTGTATCTTGTTCAAGATGTCGAATTTTAGGTCATTTGGGTTCAATAATTAAACTTGATGGTTATTATCGGTGGTTTCTGGCACTGATGCTAAATCAAAATTTATCTAAATCCCATCCTGATCAAATCATCATAGCACCTTTCTTCCACTTACCTAAAAATACCACACACCAAAATAATTTAATGAAAAGACATTGAGTTTTTAGGTGGCAATAATGAAACGAAAAGAAGAAAACACTAGGTTTTATTCCCATAATACTCTGTTTTATTTAACTTATCAGAAAGGATTATATTCATATTTTCAATTTCAAGTATTTTTAATATATATATATATATATATATATATATATATATGTTTAATTTTAATTGAAAATTTTAACAAAAAAAAATTATTCATGTTAGATTTTAAATAAAATTTACTGTTAATATATTTATTCTTGTAACATTTTAAAACTTAATTAATCAATAAAATTTTTTATTAGAAAATAAAATTTAAAAAACTTGTTGAGTGGATAGAAGGTTGTGGTGGCAATAACAAAAGGTGTGATAACATTAATAATTTCTTAAAAATAAGTTAAGTTTTAAAGTTTTTTCACAAATTATTCAGCACTACAAAATACAACACAAAAATCAACATGTAAATCAAGGTTGCTTATTAAGTTGAATGGAAAAAAAGTACCAGCATTACTTCCATACCAAAAAAATAAACAAAAAATAAAACCAAAAGGTTTGATTAAAGCAAAAAAATACTTTTAACGTGTACTTTTCTGAAACCATAATATTTTAGAAATCTACAAAATCACCAAAATAATATTAAGTCTCCAATTCTTTATATCTAAAAGATTCACTAGTAAAAAATTACGATTTGGATCACAAAGCTAAAATGTAAAGTGTTGTGTATGCATAAGGTTGAAGAATGCCACTGTGAGAAAATAAAAGTTTATAGGAAAGTAAAATCTTACTAAGCTTAGTCATGCACACAATTCACCACTTGCAAAGGCCGCATGGTTTTGCACTTGCTATCTAGTCTTGGCCCTATTATGGACTTGTAGAGCTTGCAATTGTGAGAGAGAGAAAGGGGGAGAGAGAGCTTCTTTTTAATAAAGTTATTATTACCTTTACATATTCATCTTTTTACTTCTACAATGCCATAACTGCATAATCTTGAATTAGTCTAGGTATAAGACAAGCATTGCTCTTCCTTATTTTTTTCTCTTTCTTATCAATATAGTAGGTAGTAGTTTTATATCATGGTATTAGAACATGTGTGGTTGTAGTATTCTTAGTTCAAAGCTTTGGTTCTTTGACTTCTTTTTCTTTCCAATTATCTTATATATATATATATATATATATATATATATTAGCATCTCACCATAGAACTCTTAGATCTTTTTCAAATTATATTCTTCTTTAGTTATTGTTAATTGTCTTCAAACATGGTTAAAAATAGTCTAGTTTTTAATGATATTGTATTAAGTAGTGACCCAAATTTTGTCAAGAATTAGACTATTTTTAGGAATTATATTAGCTAGTGATCCAAAATATTGAGATAGCAAATAATACTACCTCTTCAATGAACCTAGCTTGCTTGTGGAACAAGCATCTATGGCATATTAACTTTTAGACTCTTCATCAAATGAACTATAAAAATATGGTCTTGGGACTACCTAACATCCTAGTCTACAATAAGATATGTGAAACTTCTTAGTTAGGAAAATAATTGAGAACATCATTTCCAAAGGCTTGCCAAAGTAAGGCTAGTAAAGCACTAAAACTATTACATATTGAACTCTAAAGACGTCTAGTGCTTCATTTTTTAGGAGATTCATTATACTTTATAGCAATAGTTGATGATTTCAATTGATTTATTTGAGTATGTTTTTTGCAAACAAAATCTTAGGCTTTTGAAAGTTTCAAAAATTTTAAACTTATCAAAGAATTATAACTTAGTATGAAAATTTATACAATAAAGTTGGATAGAGGTGGAAAATTCTTATTAAGTGAATTCACCAAATTTTTTTCAGTCTTTGGTATTATAAACCAACTTACTAGTATTACACCACCAAAATATAACAACATTGTTGAGCGAGCCTACAACATGCATATAAGAAGTTATTGGAAGGAACCTACAATATGTACATCAAAGCTGAAATATCACATTTCCTATGGACCAAGGCAATAAATATAATAGCCTTTCTATTAAACTGGACACCAATAAATTCTAATCTTGGTATTAATCTATATCAAAGAATCTTAAAAAAAAAAAACCAACTATTGATCTCATTTACATATTTACTTTCAAAATTTACATATTTATTGACAAAAAAAATATACAATAGATTAGATCCAAAGGCAATAGAGGAAATTTTGGTTGATTATGAAAAAGAAACCAAAAGATTTTGTTATTATATTTCCAAACATTACAAGCTAAAAATCACTTGTAATGTTTTTTTTTATGAAACTATCTATTATTTGGCTGCAACTTAGAGCTTGCACTTTTATCTAGTCATAGTAACTCATTATTGTTCAAACTTCATACTATGTTCTCACCTTCAATGACTTAGCACTTACCATTAAATAATATCAATGAACATTTATATACTTTACTTCTTTATAACCTTGATTTACTTTCAAACCATCCTATTATTCTAGCACACTAAGTGCTACCAATTCCAAATGAACTACCAACCACCTATGTTATATCGCCCAAAATCCATCAATCTTCATCTATACTTTGCAATAGTGCTATATATATCGTTGAACATTCAATTAATCTCAATATTATGGAGATTGACTACTTTTATGAACTAATAGCTAAATCAACAAATCTTCTTATTTATGCTAAAACCAATCTTCATTCCAAATAGCTTTACGCAATGGAATATGAATATGATTCTATAATTAGAAATTATACTCGGAAAATATTTAATTTATCTATAAGTACCAATCTAATAATTAGAAAGTAGATGTATAAAATAAAAGTAGGTTTCAATGGTCAATTAACACAGTTAACAACTAAAATTGTGGCTCTTAAGTATCAATAGATTGTAGGATTAGACTACTTCAAGATATTTGTTTTTATCACAAATGAAATTCCATTCATATTATGCTATCTATGGCAGCCAATTATTATTAGGAAGTTTCTTATCTTGATGTTAAGACCATGTTTTTAAATGACAATTTCACCAAGCTAGTTTACATGGTCATTCCAAAAGGATTTGAGTATCATGGCACCCACAAAATATGCAAGTTATTCAAATCATTGTATGAACTTAAACAAGCTCCATAAGCTTGGTTTGAAAAAATCAATGATTTCTTGCAAATTCATGGTATAACAAGAATGAAAGCTGATTATTTATTATATTATATTAGAGATGATAGAAGAAGGAGAGGATAGCTCTTTTCATTCTCTATGTAGACGATTTTCTTCTAATTGGTGACAATAAAGCAATGTTGAACTAGTTAAAAGTATAACTTTTTAATTGATTCAAAATGACTGACTTAGGCTCTCTCCAATTTTATCTTAGAATGACATTCTTCATTATAAAATTTCATATCTTCTTCAATCAATAAAATTAGATTAAAATGATTCTTTGCAAATTTAAAATAAAAGAATGCCACAACACTTCTATGTCAATGCTTAAATGGATGAAGTTGAACAAAGAAGAGAAGCAATTTTTTTGATAAGGTACTTTATTACAAGCATGTTAGAAAGTTAATTTATCTTTTAAACATCCAAATTGACATCTTATTTGTTATTTTTTTCCATCATCCATTCCATGCACAATCTATATATTCTTTATTTGAATGCAGCTAAGTACATTTTGTACTACTTGAAAAGAATACTTGATCTTTGAATTATTTATCACCAAAGAGATAGCACAATTATTATGGGTTTTCCAATGCAAACTAAGAAAATGATGTTGATGATTGCAAGTCTATCTTAACATATGTATTCAAATCTGCTAGTAGTCCAATCATTTAGTCTTTAAAGAAACAATCTACAGTAGCAACCTTGTCTATAGATATAGAAACAAAGACCATTTTTGAGGACATCAAATAAGCAATATAGCTCTGTACTTTACTTCATTGCATCACCAATATAGAATCTAAACCTATTATCGTATACTTTGATAATTAGATTTCATTAAAGTTTGCCAAAAATCTAATGAATCATGCTCACTCAAGACATGTTGAAGTATGACAATACTACTTTTAAGAGAATGTATTTACAGATATAACTTAGCTTATCTTACAACAAATGATCAATTGGCAGATTTTTTAATTAAAGCACTAGGACTTTTAAAAAAAATCAAACATTATAATAGCATAAGAATCCAAAAATCAAATGTCTTTGAAAGAAATTAATTTTATAGATAAAAGATTAATCTTCTTCATAGAGAGATTCAAAGAACATAGAACATGTTGCCTCATCAAGAAGATAATTATATGAAATATTGCAAGATAATTTAAATATATCCTCAATAAGTAAGATAAGTAGATATATTATTTTAAATCCTAGTCTTATTATGAGTGACTTTTATTCTATACCAACAATTGAGATAGTCCTCAGATAGCTCTAATAATCAATCTAAATCATTTCTAAAGCTTGCTATTTAATCATTTTTGTAATAAATAACTACCATAGTTTACTTATCCTTTGAAAATACCACAAAAAAGATAGAAAAGCAAGTGAATTCAGTTTTTGTGAGATGAAATATTCCATAATGATATTCAAAATAAGAAAAAGAAGTCTCAAGCATAAATTATAGAAGGACTGTAAATTTACTATTGAACTTTGGATCTCAAAACAAAAAAAATAGAATATAGAAGCTTATCTTTGATTACTACTTCTATATGATCAATAACTTGGCATATAAATATAAACACCAAGCACAAGATGAATAAAAATGACTTCTAATATAAAAGAACAAAGAGCATCAAGTTTATTAGAAACAATATAATCAACTTATAGTTTGTTGAATCAACAACAAAAATCACTCA